TAAAATAATAATAACTAAAATAATAATAAATAAAAGTAAGTAATTTTTAAAAGAAATAATCCAGTTTTTAAAGTGGGCTACAGACCTGAACAGAGTTCTCAAAAGAATAGGTAAATTGCTAAGAATATTTCTCAGAAGGTGTTCAACATCCTTAGCAATTAGGAAAATATACAAATTAAAGCTACTTTCAGATCTTACCATAGTCAGGATGGCTAAGATCAATAAAACAGCTGGCAATAAATGCTAAAAATGATGTGGGGAAGGGGAACCCTCATGTACTTTTGGTGGAAGCTGGTGTGGAGAATTTTCGAACGGCTAAAAACATCTACCATAGGGCCCAGCCATGCCTTGGCATAAACAACACCCTACCCACAGATAGATGTTCATTGCCAAGTTACTAGGTAGCTAAGAAATAGGAACAGCCTTGTCCTTCTGATGAGTGGCTAATGGAAATGTAGGATATTAACACAATGGAAAACTGTTCAACTGTAAAGATTAGAGCATGAAATTTGCAGGTAAGTAGATAGTTTGAAAACACTGAGCCAGGCATTAATCCCAGCATGCAGGAAGTAGAGGCAGGTGAATTTCTGAGTTCAAAGTCAGCTTGGTCTACAAATGGAGCTCTAGAGCAGCCACTGGTACACAGATCATGCCTCAAGAAAATATAGTAACCCAGATCCAGAAAAACAAACACTGCAAATTTTTAGATGTGAGTATATAACCAGGAGTCACCACAGAATCCAGGAAGGGACCATGGGGGACAAGAGAGAGAGAAGGCACTCCAGAAAGGGGCGAGCCAGCAATGCAGACGATGGATATAGGAAAAGATACAGTTATGACACTTGGGTTGATGCCCAACCCCCAGAGCCATAGACTAACAAAAGCCCCAATATCAAGTTTGGCAAACCTTTTGAGTTGTTGGCCAGGGGAGTCAGATTCCGAAAATAATGTATAGGTTATTGTTGCTGTCCTTGGTTACCTCCCCAAACTTGAAGGTAATACCTATTGCTGGCGACACCACACACTTTGGACACAGGACTTGGAGGGGCTGGGACAGCACTGTCCTGGGAGCCTTCCTCCCAGAAGACTGGCTCTCACCATCTAACGATGCTACGCAAGCTGCCAAGCAAGGAAAGCAATCAACAGTCCTCACTAGTAATAAAACTTAGGGACTACAGCGGTCACCAGCATGGTGAGGTATTCCCAATGGTGCAATAGCAGCACTTGTATCTTAGGGAGAGCCCACAGTATCTATCCAATGTGGCATCAGGCTTGTCCAGAATTTAAGGCTGGTACTATAAACCTAGTCAGCTACCTGTATAGCCACAAATGAGTGCGGCTCCCACCCCTCAAAGAAGTTTCCTTCTGCATCAGAAAGAAACCAGTACAGAAATTCACAGTCGATCACCCTGGGTTACTCAGCTGCGGTTGGTATACGACATGCAGCCCTACACCTTAAGCTCGGGGAACGTTGCAGAAGATCAAGTACAAGGACTAAGGTCCAGAGGACTAGGATACCTGCTATGAAATAGTGTCTTCTATTTGATAGGTAGCTGTGCCCATGAGATTAACAATACAAACACGCCAATGTAGATGGGGACATTTCCCAAGGCCCTGCCCCCAGAAGAAAAGCTACGGGCAATTAAGAGCTGACGAGAGAGACAAACAGGCTTTTTCCTAGGTATCCAATCCTCAGCAGCCAGCCCCAAACGCATACGTATATGACCAATATTAAATGGACTCAGAAGGCTCTGTGTGTGTGTGAGAGAGAGAGAGAGAGACACATGCCTTATTTGCATGATACTTGATGAGGTGCCATGTTTACATTTATCCACAAGGGGACAGTCTTCGCTACTTTTAGTATACCTTTCTACTTTGCCCATCTGTTCCACATTTCAGGCGGTGAGGGTCATCCATGCACTAGAGGGACCTGACTGCCCATCCAGAGACATTCCAATGTATCATACATTACTGAACCAAGGAACTTCTAGTGCCATTGACCCTGCCACACGTATGTAGAGACCCTAACATCACATGTGAGCCTGTGTCCTGGGAGGTAATCAGGCTAGCTGCAAGAGTGTGGAGGTCCTCCGTTGGGATTTGCACCCTTATAAAGCAGGCCACACAGGGCCTTTTCACCAGTGCACATACAATGAGAAGGTGGCCATCTGCCAGCTAGACAGAGAACCCTCACCAGAGTAAGTACCTGACTTTGAACTTCCAGTCCACGGAGCTGTCAGAAATTTCTGTTATTTACAAACTACTCAGTCCATGATATTTTTGTTTTTGAGACAGGGTCTCACGTAGCCCCGCACTGGCTCCAAACTTACGAGGTGGGTGAGGATCACCTGGAGCACCTGATCCTCCTGCCTCCACCTCCGGAAAGGGTTGGATACATTGGAACACAGGCCTTCGTGTATGCTAGGCAGACTCTTCCAACTGAGCAACACCCCTAGCTTGTCAACTATGGTGTAATGTTAAAAGAGCACGAAGTAAGAGCCCTGGACCCCGACTCCTATGCTCCCAGAATAAAGGAGAGCAGCCGCTGCTCCAGCTCCGTAGAGCCTAGTACTGATCTCCTCTGCACCGTGGTAAGCTGTGATAATTTTACAGCAAAATTATTTGCTGTTTGCTTGGACACATACACCAGGATTTTACTTTTTAAGTTAATTTCTTAACAACTAGATACCTCAAAACATTTGCTTTAAATGGTACATTTTAAAAAAAAAAAGTCTTGGCAGTGATTCAGGTTTTTACTCCCAGCACTTGGGAGGCCAGCCTGACCTACAGAGAGAGTTCCAGGACAGCAGAGCTGTTACACAGAGAAACCCTGTGTGTGTGTGTGTGTGTGTGTGTGTGTGTGTGTGTGTGTGTGTGTGTGTGTGGTGCATTTGAATTAAACTTTATACTATGTAAACACATTTACTAACTAATGTGTATGGTTTGTACTTTTAAAATACCGTGTGTGTGTGTGTGTGTGTGTGTGTGTGTGTGTGTGTGTGTGTGTGTGTGTGTAGGGGAGAGGGGGTTGCTATCAGTATGCAGAGCCTGAGGGGTCCAAACGAGAGCATCAGCTATCACGGAGCTGTGGTTACAGACACGTGGCAGCCACCTGACACTGGTGTTGGGTGCTGGAGCTGAACCCCAGTCGTGTGGACGAGCAGGAGGCATCTAAGCACTAGGCTACCCGACACACCCCGCCCCCAGCCTGTAAAGCAGCTCCTAGTCACCACCCTCCCTAGTAATCTTGATAAGCACTGAAGATTGACAGCCATCACCAAGGAAAGCCTGGAAACAGCTCAGCCCACGAGAAAGCTAGGCAGCACCTTAGGAGTGGGCATGAAGTTCCCAGACTTGAAGTGTCCTGGTGCAAACGGGTTAAGGGAGCAGCATACATGCACTGACCAGTGGCTGGCTGAGTGCACTGGCCTGGACCTAAAGTACTTTTGTTTCTCTTCATGCCCCTCCCCCCCTCATCCCCTCCCCCACCACACTTACTGCACACAAGGTAGTCATAGCCAATTCCCACATCCAAACCCGGCGGCAGGCAGTGGATTAAAATATTTCCTCACCAGGCACATCACACCATACAAGAGTGAAGGATGAACCTACAGACTGAAAGGAGCCTGAGGTCCCAGCACACAGGAAAGGAAGCCCCAAGCCAGGCAGGAGCCCCAAGTTCATGCTCCTCTGCCAGCTGACACTGACCCCTGTACCATCACTAGAGGTGGCACGCAGCCGTTACAATACTGGCTCCTTAGCTTCCATGCTTCGGATCTCATCTCAAACATTTGCAGACATTATTTGCTTTAACAATGAAGGATTCGTCTGTGGTCACAAAAGTGTTTGCTTAATGAGAAATATTTACCTGAGTAGCATTTGGCCTCGGTAATTATTATTATATAATTGTCTCTCAAATGCTGTGTCATGCATCTGTTTAAATGCTTTGCATTGAAATAATCTCATCTGCAGAACCAGCCTATGCAAATGTGCTATTATTCATCTCTATTTTAGAACGCAGGAGGCACAGGGTGCCAAGCTCAGCAGAGCCCTCGGGCCTCAGTATACATTGTGATCTTTTTTGGCCATTGCCACATCAACAGTCCCATGTCAGTAGGGAGAAGACTCTGTCCCCACAATGCTGGGGACAGAAACCTGGCCTCGCTCTGCTTACAAGGGACAGGGTGGGTGTTTTACCCCTCTTCCCTGAGACAGATAAAAATAGGTAGAAAGCAACAATACAAGACAAAGTAGCACCAATTTTTAAGACAGAAAACACTTTCAGAAAGGAGGCAGAAGCAGGTGGATCTCTGAGTTCAAGACCAGATCTCTGGTCTATAAAGTGAGTTCCAGGACAGCCAGGGCTACACAGAGAAACCCTGTCTTAAAAACAACAGACAAAAAGACCCAACCGTTGTAGTCACTAAAATCCCTCAGTTAAATGATAGGAACGCCCACGTTTTTCCATGGGAAATGCCCCCTGCTGACCCGCAGATGCTCTGGATCATGTGATTCAGACAGAGACCAACCAGCTCCAGGCCCGGGACTTGTGAGAATGCCCCATTCACTGGGAGCAAATACAGCCTGCATGGTGTCAGGTGATCTCAGGCCTCAGACAGACAGGGCAGAGCCTGGTTTGCTGCTAGGCCCCCACAGCTGACGAGGCACTCCAAGACCCATTTCCTGTTTCTGTAGCAGGAAGAGCAGGTAGGTTTCTGTTGTGGCCAAAAGAATGACCAACAGCAGACCCTTCCATGACGCCACAGGCCACTGCATTAGCCTGTGTCCTCTGTGTTTTATCCCTGCCTTCCCCACCCCACCCCTCACTACCACCACCCCCAACCCTGGAACTGCCGTGTTTTTCGATAGCCCATCCGGCTGACAAGCCCCACAAGTGTAACTTGTAAATTAAAGCAGTTAATCATCCATGCCCCCAAATGAAGCAGAAACCCTTGTTATACCCACTCATGTTCCGTCTCCCTCCACACCCTTTTGGGTACCTGGGATATAAATGGCGCGACCATGGCTCCAATGCGGCACAGGGAACCGCTGGTTCCCATCCCTAGAGCGCGCATCTGAGTAGGGTAGACCTGCAGAGGATGGGCATAGAGAACACCCATTAGAGAGAGACAGTTCTTCCCAGGGTGCCCTTCCCCGCCCTCCCGAGCTCAGGCTTCCATATTTGGAGGATACAGGACGGATTTCAGGGCAAAGGATGCTCAGTGTCTTTGGTGTACAGTTGTGAATTTTGAAAAGTTGCATTTATTGGCTTCTTGTGTATCAGGCACATCGTGATACACGTGTGGAGGTCAGAGGACAGCTTGCAGGAGTTGGTGCTGTCCCTGCATGTGAATCACAGGGTTTCTACTCCGATTGTCCTGTTTGGCAGCAAGTGCCTTCCCTCGATTTGCCATCTCACCATGGCAGTTAATTCTGACGTCAGCATATTTGGGTTGAGAGCTGCCCTCATCAATTGTTTAGTACACTGATGAACTCAACATTTAAATAGACTGGAAGGTAGAACTTTGGAAGCCTGTCACCGGCATGGGCTTTTTGAGGGTGTATCTTAGCCCAGGTCCCTTCTGGTTGCTATGTGGTGGCTCACTTTTCTCTCCCAAACCCTTCTATCACGGTGCCTCTGCTACAGGCCAAAGGGTAAACCAGCCCGTCATGGACCAGGACAACTTAAACTGAACTAACATAGATCTTCCTTTCCCTGATGATTTCAGGCTTTTGTCATGGTGACAAGCTAGACTAACAACCCCATTTCATTTGGAAGGGAGGAGGCCCTCTCTTCCAGAGACTGGATATCAATAGACTGAATGGGAAAGGGAAAACCCATAGCAAGCTCTCTGACATTTTCATAGAATTTGACAGTTTAAGAAACTCGTGCAAGGTTAACAGAAGTCGGGGATACGCCAACCCCAGAGTGGAAGCTCGCCTGGCATGCCCTGATGGAGCCATGCCATCCCCAGAGCTCACAGTGCCCACCTCAGCTGTGTAAATGTAGATGGTATTGAAGTTTGCTGCCACCAGGGCCCTCAGCATGAAGAGGAAGCCGATGAGGCCGGCACTAAAGAGGAAGCAGAGGGACTAGCGTGAGACACAGACTTCGGAGACGGCAGGGAGGCTACACACGTGACATATCATCATCATGGCTACCTGAACCTCCATGACACTAATGGCCGTGCTGACATGGAAGAAAGCGCACAGAACCTCAGTCCTAGACAAGGAACTGCCAGCAACTGGGGGTACTAAGAGCAGGAGACATGGCCTTCCCCAAGGAAAAGCCCCCCAATTAGTCAATACCCAACACCAAATGGTCAACCCTGTGATCATCAACACAGGTGATATTATACAGACTAAGCAGGCTATATTCATGTATCTAGGAAAGTGTGTGTGTGTGTGTGTGTGTGTGTGTTTATAACAATAAAACAAAAAGGGCCGTGGAATTAAGAGAGCAAGGGAGCACATGGGAAAGATTTCAGGAAGGGAATGAAGGGAAAAATGAGCTGATTATAACTTCAAAAAATAAAAAATTATAATAAGAAACATTCACAAATCTAAAAGAGAGAACAATGACAGGCTATTTTAGGGTTTCTATTGCTGTGATGAAACACGGTGACCAAAAGCAACATGGGAGGAAGCAGTTTATTTGGCCTATACTTCCACCTTGCTGTCCATTGTTGAGGGAAGTCAGGACAGGAGCTCAGAGAAGGAACCTGAATGCAGGAACCGATGTAGGGGCTATGGAGGGCCGCTGCTTACTGGCTTGCTCAGCCTGCTTTCATACAGAACTCAAGACCACCAGCCCATGGATGACACCATCCACCATGGGCTGGACCCTTGCCCATCAATCACTAATTAGGAAACTGCCCTACAGCCAGATCTTATGAAAGCATTTTTTCAACTGAGGTTCCCTCTCTTCAGATGACTCTGGCTTGTGTTCAGTTGACATAAAACTAGCCAGCAGAAGGCTCTATTCATCTATAAGATGTAGATCTCTTTCACTGTCTGGGATCAAACTTTTTAAATTTTCAATGTATTGGTTGGCCTGTAGGTGTAGAACTCGCAAATCAAGAGTCAAGCATAGTGTTGCTCAGAGTACTGTAGGATTGCAAATTCGGGGTGGTATTAGTTATCTGGGGGATTGCTCTGCCACTGAACTGTCTTTCCAGCCTTCAGATACATGCTGTCTGTGTCACTGGGACTAGCTCATGTTGGCTCAGGTAATTTGGTTTAAAAAATAAAAACTAGGGCTGTTTTCCAGTTCTCCGAGAAGCTTCGCACACTGAGCATCCTGGTACTGTTCCCACATCCCATAATAGCTGAAGGAGGCAGGCAGAGAGAGGGAGGGCCTTTAAACAGGCAGCCTGTTCTGTACTCTGCCCAGTGTGAGCTGACATGTTTCAGACTGCACAGAGCCCCAGAGTCAGGGGTCCCATTGGATGGCCCCTGCACACCGCTTCGCTTCGTAGAAACAACCCACCAGTGAGTACCTTGAAGTGCAGATGTTGAGGAGAACAAAGAACAAAGCCGTGCATCCCAAGGTGATAGACAGGCTCAGTCTTCTGCCCAGGAAATTGATGCCCAGGATATTTAAAGGGTTCACTAGGAAGCAAACAGCAAGGACACACAGTGATACCTTGGAGCAAAAGTGGTATCCACGGACACCAACAAGGCCTGTCCCATCCTGAACCCAGGCACACTGCCATGGAATCCGTGACTTCTTCAATGTGACCAATACCGGTTATACATAAAGACCATTTCCCTTCTGTTTAGTTTTTGATACCCTGTCTCTCTATATAGTCCTGGCTGTTCTAGAACTCACTATGTAGATCAGGCTGGCCTCAAACTCACAGAGATCCAGCTGCCTCTGCCACCCGAGTGCTGGGATTAAATTAAAGGTGTGTGCTCCCAAACCGAGCTTTATTTCATTTTATTTTATTACTTGATCTACCACTTTGTAAACTATCAGTTTGCTAGAACTAAATACCATATGCCATTGTCCACTGAATGCAAGGCTTCCCTGATTTCTGGGTTTTTTTGTTTTGTTTTGTTTTGTTTTTTTAAGAGAGTCTCACCATGTAGGCTTGTGCCACCACACTTGGTCCTGGGCCTTTGACTCTTTTTATTTATTTGCGACAGGATCTCATATGTCCCTGGCCTCCAGTTCACTAAGGATGACCTTGAATTGCTGACCCTCTTGCATCCACTTCTCAAGCACTGGGTTGACAGGCACGCAACACACCGCTACACCCAGCTCATGAAGTCCTGGGGATTTTGTGCATGTAGCAGGCAAGCATTTTAACAACTTAGCTACATCCCCAGTCACACTGGTTTCTTTTTTTTTTTTTTTAATGGGCCATCATTTTTGTTAGGGGGGCGGGGACCAAAACTCAGTGCTGCCAATAGAAATCTAACAAGTCATTGCAAGATTATGCATCTTGACATCCTGCTCCAGGGTTGATCCAGGTAAACGGTCGGAACTGGGAAAGACCATACTGAGGCAGCGCAGACCCAGAGAGGCAAACACGTTCTCTCTCATCTGACGTGAGAATACCTATGACCCAAAGCAACCGCAGAGACCAAGACAGTGGAAAGGGACTGCTGTGGGGGGATGGTGAAGATCTGAAGGGGGATGAGAGAATGGGGGGGCGGGGCTTGATAGGGAAGTAGGCCATAGAAATGGCTCAGAAGTTAAGAGCGCCTGTTGCTGTTGCAGAGGATGGCCTGGGTGCTATTCCCTGCACCCATCCACAGGGTGGCGCACAACCATCCGTTACTCAGCCACAGGATCAGATACCCTCATCTGACCTTTGAGGGCACCAGGCATGAAAATGGTGCCCGTACCTACAGGCAGGCAGAGTATTCATGCACATACAATAAATATCTAAACACAGTAAAATGGAATGATTGGGGAGGGGGATAGTAAACACGGAATGAAGGGAGAGGGTGAAGTATCAGAAAGAACACCTGAAAAAAAGTCATAAAAACACACAATTATCTACCTAAAAAAAAAAAACCCTGTAATACATCTGGGCTGACAACACTATCTAACCAAAACCCTAACACCAGGCATGAGAAGCCCTCTTTTGAGTTGTTGGTCAGGATCATACAAGAAACGATCAGATCACACAAAAGAGATTGGGTCATCCAGAAATTAGATGGAACAAAACATTATAGGCTATATTGCTACCCTTGGTTGCCTCCCAGCATTGCTGAAGACATCACTTTAGACACAGGACCCAGAGGACTCAAGCTGAGTCTGACCCTGAAAGCTTTTTTCCTGAACTTCCATGGTACCAGAGGCTCCCAAAGGCACCATGTGAGCTCCCAAAGGAGGGAGGCAGCCACCGGTCCTGAGTGGCTGTGATGCCCGTGTGACCTACAGCAGTGAGCAGCAGGACCTGATAACCCGAACAGTGCAGTAGGGACATGAGCACCTTGGCACTAGCCAAAAGCTCTCCACTCAACAAGTGGAGTGCCATGCCTGGCACTGAAGCACAGCCTCTATCCAAGGCTGGTGAGGTCATGGAAGCTTGGAGAAGAACCTGCAGCCAACACCTCACTAAGCCAACGTAACCCCTAACTACGCCGTAGACGCTCATCCTTATAGCCACAGACAAATGCAATCTTCATCCCTCATCAAGGGGGCCTCTCCGCAACAGATGCAGCCAGCTACCGAAAACCACATCCAATCAAAACGAAGAAGAGTTGCGCAGCCAGGTTCAAGTACTGTATCTACAACCTGCAGCTAAGACTCACTCAGACATCACTGTAGAAGAGGGCAGCAAGGCTGTAAGAGCTGCAAAATAAAGGAAGTCTGATGTTAAAAAAAAAAAAAAAATTGACCGGCGGTGGTGGCACACACCTTTAATCCCAGCACTCCAGCCTGAAAATGGATTTGGAACTAATGAAATGGAACAGCTCAAAACTTTGTTCCTTCCGGCCCTCCTCCCACAACAACCAACCCAAACAGGAGGAGGTGTGCCAGTGTGACCTGGAGACCCGTGAAGCTCTCCTGGGCAGAGCCTCACTCAGGATCATGCTTCTCTTTGCCCCAGAGCTGCAGGAGCCCTGCCTGAGACGGGGAAGGCACAATCGTACAGGCGATCTCCCCGAGTGTGCTGATGATCATGGTCCTGTAGTCGGAGGGGGCGAACAGGTGGCAATAGCAGGGGCTGAGACTCTCCTCTGTGTCACCGGAAGTCACCGCCACCTCAGCTTCTGACCCGGACTTCGAACCACAGACCAGGTCCCGCTCCAGCAACTCAGCACTGGCCAGGATAACCCCGTAGTAGGCGAAAGAAATTCCCAACCTGGGAGTGAGAAGAGACTATCACCAGCACTCGGGAGGCAGAGGCAGGTGCGTCTCTGTGAGTTCAAGGCCAGCCTGGTCTACAGAGCGAGTTCCAGGACAGCCAGGGCTACGCAGAGAAATCCTGTCTCAAAAAACAAGCAAACAAGAGAATATCGTTAGCAAAAGCTGTCACCAAGCTTGGGGGACAGGAAGAACCCTGACAGGCAGGGGCAAAAGGAGAGTGAACGTGGAAGGCACAGAGCAAGAGAAACAGCATCCAGAACCCAACACAGCATCCAGGCCCCTGAAGACAACTCCAGAGAAATGCACAGATATAGATTAGATATAGCTACAGATGCATTTCTGTTGGACGGAAACTTTGGAGTGACTGACTCCGAAGATGTGTATATTTTTAACACTAACAGACACCCTCCCAGAGGTTTCCAACCGGAAACAGGCAGCTGTGTGTGGAATGTTCCAGTTACTTTGCATCCTTGCAAACCCTCGGCACAGGCAGTCTTTTTAAAGATTTATTTATTTAAAAATAAATAAATAAATAAATTTGTGTTTGGCCGGCATGCATAGATGTACGCCATGTGTATGCGGTGCCTGCGGAAGCCAGAAGAGGGTTTGTGTCCCCTGGAGCTGGAGTTAGATGGCTGTGAGCTGCCATGTGGGTGCTGGGAACTGAGCTGGGGTCCTCTGAAAGAGCAGCCAGTGCTCTTAACTGCTGAGCCATGTCTCCAGGCCTGTGGTCTTTTCCAGTGTGGCCGTTCTTACTCATTGCTGGGAGGGGTTCAAGTTGCATCTCCTTGATGACTTCATGGTGAACCTCAGATTCAGTTTGGGCCACATACCTGTTCAGGCCTTTGCCCATTTTAAACTCGGCTGTCAGGGCTGTCAGGACAGGAGAGACGGCTCAACTGTTAAGAGGATTTGCTGCTCTTCCAAAGGAGTCAGACTTGAGTTCCCTGCACCCATGTTGGAAGGATCCCAGCCAGCCATAATTCCAGGAGCTCTGACACCCTCTTCTGCCTCTTCAGCCAACCACTCACATGTGAAATACAGAGAAATACACACATAAATTCAAAAAATAAATCATAAACGTGATTACCTAACTTTACTGTTGAAGGACAGTTACATATATAACATGTGTGTTTTATATACTATATACTGCACTATATATGTATATATAAAATGTATACACACACACACACACACACATATATATATATATTTCAAATTTCTTCTGTTAGTTGATAGCTTGCTATTTAGGCTTCTCCTGATATTATATGGCACAGAGACACTAATTTTTGTTTGAGACAGGGTTTTGTGTAACCTAGGCTGGTTCCAAACTGGTAGCAGTAGATGCCCTTGAACTCATGGTTCACCTCACTTCTCAAGTGCTGACATTTCAGGAATGTGCCAGCAAGCCCAGATCCAGAGACGCTAATTTAATGCAGTACAAGTCATCAGTCCCTCCCTGTGTATTAAGCACTGACTGTCTTTGAGTCCTGCTCTGGAATCGCTCATTCACTCAAATGAAGAGAGAGGTCCTCAAAAGGCTGTGCTCCTGAGCCTGTCATCGGTGAGTTCCTAGAATCAGTCCCTGCCATGGGGGAAAAAAAAAAAAAAAAAAAAAGAGCCCAGGCCACAAAAGGCCAGGAAGTAACAAGTATAGTCAGGGAAGAGTTGGAAAACGATTGTAGAATATGAAGGTTTCCTTTCTCTTTTTACAATTTTATCATTTGGGAAAGGAGAGTAGGATGGGTAGTATTAAAAGGACAAGACATCGTGGAAGGAACCATTTGACAACTCCCTCGTGTGTTTCTCCCTAACACCTCTGAGAGCGGATTTACAGGGGCCCCTCTTTACCCATAGACGATCCATCCTGAGAGTCCCAGCGGACACCATAGTTCACACCTTGCCTTACATGTGAGTTCCCATACAGAATTAACAAAATTAAAATGATTTGTAATATGCCATAAATGTTACATGTCAGTGTGCCCCCTCTGTTGAAGGCAAATCTGATTTTGGACTTTGGTTGACAATGGATAACAGAAATCATGAGAGGCAAAGTAAAAAATATGGTGTTTGTAGCACTACTCTACTTGAATGGGTTTCCTTTGGCCTTGCAGGAATTGTGTTCTTACCATATGATCCAGATCTGTAATGTGGTCCGAAGGTATTTGGAATCCAGGAGATCTGCAAATCTTCCTCTTTTCTCCTAGGATGAGAAGGAGGGACAGGATACACATGGAGGGATGAGGGCACATTTCTATCATATTCTTGATCATGCACATCAAGTCACACCAGGAATATGGTATGGAGAGATCATCCTTGTGTGCTCAGTTATGAAGCCACACCCCCAGCCCCGGATCCAAAGGCTGATCGTTAGGAACCAGCCCCGAGGCTGAAGGCAACCCCCTGGTTTAGAGTACTGACTGCTCATACAGACCAGTCCGATCCGGGCACAACCATTTCTAACTCCAATCCCAGCTGATCCAACACCCTCTTCCAGCCTCTGGGGGCCACGGCATGCATTTGAAGCACAGGCAGATGAAAGCAAAACACCCAAACACAAAATATTTCTTAAAAAAAAAAAAAAAACTGGCTCTGGCTGGCAGGTCCAGTCACTGAGAATTGGCTCGATCATGAGCACGCTGCTTATGCTCTAGAACAATCCACAGAAGTACACACAATTAGAGCGCACTTGGACACTGAGGAAAACTTTAGAGGTGGGGCCCGTTTGTCCCTGACTGGCTTTATCACACACACTTTGCTTCTCAGATGCCATGACGTGGGCAGTTCAGTCCTGACACGCCCTTCTGCCATGATGCTCTGCCATCACAGGCCCAAAACAATGGCCACTGTAACCTCTGAGACTGGGTCAAATGCAACTTTCCCCTTCTTAAGCTATGCCAATGTCTTAGTTACTGCTCTGCTGATGGAACAAAACATCATGTAACAAAACTCCAGGCAACTCACAGAAGGAAGCTTCTAACTGGGCTTACGGTTTCAGAGGGAGTCTGCAGGAGTCTTTCCTCCACTGAGATGCCCTCTCCTCTCTGTGCAGTTCCCTGTCTCCTCACGCCCTACGGTGATGTCTGGGGCAGCAGTGGGTCAGCCACCCCTGCTCCTATATGCACTGTGAACACAGGAACCAACTTTGCGACCAGCGCTCCGTGTGTGACCAGCTTACTTCGATTTAAATAAGCATTCTTTCTGCTCTGGTCTAAAGAGTGAATTCTTGGTCCAAACCTCTATTTCCCTATCTCCCAGGATTTTAATTTCTAAAAAATAAAAAGGGGGATAGAAATATGACTCAGGCATTAAGAGTGATTGTTGCTCTTGCAAAAGGCTGCAGGTTTGATTCCCAGCACCATGTCAAATGGCTCACAAATGCCTATAACTCTAACTCCAAGAGATCCAACACCCTTTTTATATCCAGTGGCACCTGCACACTACCCAACACACACACACACACACACACACCTTAAAAAAAAAAAAAAAGAGGGGCTGTTAAGATGTCACAGCAGGTAAAGGCACTTGCTGTCAAACCTGATTGAGTTCAATTTCCAGAACCCACAAAATAGAAGAAGAGAGCTGATCCCCACAAATTGTTCTCTGGCCTCCACATGCATGCTGTGGCATGTACATAGACACCCATACCCATACACATACACATAAATACGTTATAAAAATACTGCAAGCAATAAAACTAATCCATCAACAACATACGTGAGCCATATAGTAATGTACAACAAGATGTCCCCAAACAGGCGGTGGCAGCACACACCTTTAATCCCAGCACTCAGGAGGCAGAGGCAGGCGGATCTGAGTTCCAGGCCAGCCTGGTCTATAGAATGAATTCCAGGACAGCCAGGGCTATAAAGAGAAACCCCGTGTTAAAACAAACAAAAACAAAAATGTAGCCCCAAACACTGAAGAAAACTGGAAGGCTTTATGGAAATAACCTTATCTAAATGAGACAAAGCCAATACAAAAAAAAAATCCCATATTATAATAAGCTACAGAGGCAAAGGGTGTGATTAGTTCTGCAAGGTGAGAAGCATCATTTATGGTCTATAGATGACAAGGTAAAGCCAGGTAATTTACAAATAGTACAGGGCAGGATGGCAGAGAGGAGCTAACTTAAGCCCCTACCTCTCTCCCCTGCTCGTTCTAGACCATCACTCTGCCTCCAGGAGCCTGACCGGAGAGTCCTGGTCCCTTTCTTTCTGGACTCACCAGGATGGGCTCCACCAGCTGCCCCTCTGGCATGACTGAGCGGTTCATCTTGGCAATGCTGTGTAGGGTGTCCAGCGCAGCCTGAGTGTTTCCAGTGGAGACGTTGAAGCGAGCAGATTCGGGGATAAACTGGGCACAGATTACAAAGAACAGAGCTGCAGGTACCGTAGACTGCAAAGGTGACTACTTCACGCCTTACTCAGTCCCAGCCGCCTCCCACACCCAGGAGGGGCGACGAGCTTAAAGACACGCAACATAATCGGACACTCTGACAAATCCTATGCTGACTTGGAAATTTGCCTCTAGGGAGGAAAATCTAGGGAACATGAGACTCTGGAGTAGAACCAAAGGACCAGCTTTAGATCTTTGACTAGACTATGGATTTTTATAGATACGTCAGTTATACAATGGCAGGTGTTGGGTTCTGGGCTTGAGAGCAACTCATATACAACCAATTCCAGGCTGCACTGGAACCTAGGCCTTAAGAACCCCCAATGGTGGGATGCAGTTGGCTGAGAAGGCAATGAAGTCTTAGTCTACAACCACAGGGACAGGGGTCTTCCCACAGGAAGCCACAGGCCTGACAGCCACTGGCCCCAGAGCCACCTGAGGGGGTCTGGCTGTGATTCTTGGTGTGTGTGTGTGTGAGTGTGTGTGTGTGTGAGTGTGTGTGTGAGTGTGTGGGTGTGTGTGAGTGTGTGTGTGTGTGTGAGTGTGAGTGTGTGTGTGGTGGGGTGCATACTGGGGATTGAACCCCAGGCCCTGTGCAAGTGAGGGAAGCCTTACATCACTGAGCCGTGGCACCAAGCCCTGGGGGGGGCACCCTCCCCACCCCACCCACAGAGATGGGGGAGGGGTGGTTCTGAGCAACCAATGGAAAACAATGATCCCATGAGTTTGTACAGAAGAGGGAGGGGCTGGCTGTGGGCACAGCCAGGGGACAGATGTGGAGAAGGAAAAGGCTTGGGACATTATGTTTTCTTAAAACATGCTTTAAAGCCAGGTAGTGGTGGCACATGCTTTTAATCCCAGCCAGCACTCAGGAGGCAGAGGCAGGCGAATCTCTGTGAGTTCAAAGCCAGCCTGGTCTACAGAGCAAGAGTTCTGTGACAGCCAAAGCTACAGAGAGCAGACAGACCTCCATGACCTAGTCGCAGGCTTTCTAAAGCTGGGAGTGCTCCTGTGGAGACCCAAACTGGGTTGAGGTTTGGAATGAATGGCCACTCGGAGCCTGCTCTCCCTCTGTTCGCTACCTCTCTGCCCCTTTCTCTGTCTCTCCTCCCCTCCTTTTTCCTTCCTTTTGCTCGGTACCCCAGGGTGGCCTCAAATCACTGTGTAGCTGAAGATGAACTTCCTGGCTCTGTCTCCTGAGGATTACAACAACCATGTGTTGCCGCACCCAGTTATGCTGTGCTAACCCAGGGCAGCGTCAAGTATGCTAGGCAAGCACTCAACCAACTGAGCCACATACATCCCCACAACTGAATGCTGCTACAGCTCCAGAGGATCAGTCACTAACAGGAACCGCACACACACGCACACACGCACACGCACTCACGCACACACGCACGCACACACTCACTCATACACCATTAAACACAAAAATCTTTTAAAAAAAAAAAAAAAAAGGCTAACAAATACATTTGTGGGGAAGAAAGGTCAGTGGTCCAGCAGAAAGGGAGCACAGAGGCAGTTTCAAAACCCTCACCTTGAAGGCCATGATGAGGATGATGCCAGGGATGGAGGCAACGCGGATGAGCCAACGCCACCCAATGGTGGGAATGAGCACAGAGGCCAGGCTGATGATGAGCAGGGAGCCAGCGAGCCAGAAAACCTGGGGAGAGAGATTGGAACATGACGATTTATTCGTCTCTCCCTTCTCTGGAGCCTTGGAAGCCATCCTTCTTATTGTGTGTGTGCAGGGGGGCGCTGTGGGGCCTGACTGTGGGGTCCCACCCCCAGGATAGTGCTTCTGCTCCCGGGAACTGATGAGTCGTCCTACTGCATGGCTCAGTTTGTGTCTGTAAACTGTTCCACCTCAGTACAGAGAACCCATCAGCAATACCAACAGAGTTTCAAACAAACCCCAAAAGCTGCCCTAGAGGTCTTCAACTCGGATTTGTTTTCCTGTGCAGATAATGCGATGCCCCCACCATGAGGGGGTCCAAGAGGAGCAGGGAGGGTTCCCCGTTCTCTGCCAACAGTTTTTCTCAGAGGAACTGACAAGTTTACTGTCTACCTCCAAAGCTCCTTCAGACACAGTTTTCAAAAAACAGCCCACAGCGTATGTGATGTTTTGCTTTTTTATGCTTAAAGATTTGATAGCAAGTAACGTGGGCCCTGATGGTCAAGAATTATTTATCTTTAATCTGCACACTCAGGAGGCACAGGCAGGCTGATCTTTGTGGGTTCAAGGCCAGCCTGGTCTACAAAGTGAGTTCTAGGAGATCCAGGACTGTTTCACAGACAAACCCTGTCTCAAAAAACAAAACAAACTCAAAAAGAAGTATGAAAAGAACCATCCCCCATTAACCCAAATACCCCTACTCATCTAAGATAAAAAAATAATGCTCACTCCATCTCAGAGAGACAGAAAGAAGGCATAATTTTAGAGGACCTTCTGCAGAACTAATTTAGGGATTTTAAAAATATTTGTTATTTTATGTATATGAGTGTTTTGCCTGCATATATGTTTGTAGGCCATATCTGGTACCCAAGGAGGCTGATAGGTGTCAGATCCCCTGGTGGAGTCACAGATGGTTGTAAGCTGCCATGTGGGTGCTGGGAATTGAACTCATATGTTGTAGATCAGCCAGTGCTCTTAACCACAGCCCCAAGGGATGATTATCTTATCAAAGATAATTACACCAAAACTAGATTACTTAAGTAGGATGGTTTGAGTGACAAGGGACAGCTTTTCTAAGGAGCCAGTAGGTATGGCTGCCGTGTAAGAGTGACAGTTGATGTGGTAATGGGATGGGCCTCAGTAGTCACAGAACAAAAGACTTCTAAACGCTCCTGTCACACATTTTTGAAGGGAAGGTGACAAGGTTTATTGGTGGCCACTTGCACTATGGGTCCGTGAGTGGGGATGAGCCAGCACAGCCTGGCACCCGAGTAGGATGAGGGGACAGAGGGGTCCACTGTGGCTCCTGCATCCAAGCTCAGCTGGCAGAAGGGGAGCTGCTTGCTATGAGCTGAGGTAGAAACGGGGGAAGGTGGAGACGTAAGTTCCAGAAGGCTGCATTTGAGGGCCCTCTAAGATATTCCAGTGACTCTCAGGTAAATGACCACCTGGCTCTCCGTTCAGGAAGCTGTTCTTGGTTTTTTATATATGCTTCTGGAGATAGGAAGAACACACAGGTAGAGCTGCCCATCTGCAGGATTCATACCCATGAACTCACACCCGTGTTTTCAGCCAGCTGGGTATGGAGGATATTTGAAACAAAAGGAGTCTGTGCTGGACAACTGTACCTACAAATCGCGGATTAGGCAACTCATCTCTTGGTGATTTAAGGTACACAGGACCAAGTGGTATATCTGGTGCCCAAGGAGGCCGGTAGGTATCGGATCCCTTGGAACTGGAGTTACAGACGGTTGTATATACAAACCTGAAATAGGACATCATTTTCTATAAGGGACTTGAGCTTCCAGAGATTGTTGTTTCCTCTAGGATCCAATAGCCAGTCTCCCATGGATACAAAGGGATGGCCACATATAAAGGCAGCCACTGGAGTTGACTACATGACCCAAGGAGACATAGACAAGGAGAGGTCATGTGAAGAACCCAGCCACGATACTGGACAGATGGAGGAGTAGAACCCCGATCGATTCCTTTCCTTACTGTTGAAATAAAGTCCAGATGCTGTGAATTAAGATGCATTTCTGGTCATGAAACACTGAAGATAAAACCTGGAGAGACTGTGGGGTCACATTGGGTGTTTCCAGTTCTTGTTTTAGGGGGGAGGCGGTTTCGAGACTGGGTTTCTCTGTGTAATAGAACAGTCCTGGTTGGCCTGGAACTCACTCTGTAGATCAGGCTGGCCTGGAACTCACTGAGATCCACCTGCCTCTGCCTGCCAAGTACTGGGATTAAAGGTGTGTGCCCGGCTTGTTTCTGGTTCTTTTTGGTTATTGCTGTCTATATTCTGTGTAAAAAATACAAATGTAAGGCAATCCTCTGTGTTATTTATTGCCAAATACATAAAACTTTAGTGGTGAGGGTCCTCTTTTTCCTGGACATTTCCTGTAGTTGGGGTTTGAGGGCATCAAAAACAGCCCCAGACTGACAAAGATTCTGGATATAAAACCTCTAGTGAACAGCCAGCTAGGGATGGAGCAGGGCCCTGGAGACACCAATGTCCTTGGAAGAGATGGCCCCCCCAAGAAGGTAGGAGCTGTCTCCCTTCTCTGAAGTCTCAGTGAGGTGAGAACGGCCACCTGAGGTGCTCTCCTGGGTGTCTGTCATCCTAGTGACCCCAGCCACGGGACCATACCCTGGCTTCTGAGGGAGGTGCTACAGTGTCTTGGCCATCACTGCTGGGTGACGTTAAGTCCCCATCTCACAAAACCTTCAAAATGGACCTGTGGCTCCAGACCTGTTTCATGCTCATTAGTTGGTGCCCAAAGTCAACCTGCTGGCTAGAAGGAGACCCCTAGGACCCCATCCTTCCAGATGCACTAGGCTCTGCAGAGTTCCCTCTTCCCTTACCTGAGACAAGGGCAGCATGTAGCCTCGGTATTTTGTGGGCAAAAATTCCGTCTTTATGATTAACCTGCACAGGGAACAGGAAACACATTAATTCTTTTAGAAAACCAAGCAACTTCCCTTTAAACAATCACACATTTTCACATTAAGAGACATCGTTAGCATAAAGGGAGGCTTGAGAGCCTGCTAAGCCCCGAAGAGCACTTGTGGCTCCTGCGTGGGTCCTGGGTTTGGTTCTCAGAACCTACAGAGTACTCACAATCATCCACAATTCCAGCTCCAGGGGATGTGACCCCTTTTCTAACCTCTGGGAGCAGCAGGCGCTCTCAGGGTACACGAACATGCATACATGCAGCAGAGCACTCAGACATGAAGTGAATCTAAAGTTGTATTTATTTGTTGCATAACCTTATCGTTTAACTTTTAATTAAAATAGGCGTGCATTGCATATCAGGCTATGATTGTTACGGTGATTTTCCACACCAGAAAGCAGAGAGAAGTAAGCTTTGCTCTGACAGGCATTTTAAACTCTGTCACACAGGGACATTGGCCTCATCATTTTCACCAAGAGAAGCTTTGGAAAGTGGCTCTGTCTAATCCAACCCCCTTTCTGATGTAAAAAATATACCGGAGCAATCAAAATAATACACCCAACGGAAGGCAAAGAATGGTCTGATGCTGTAAACAGAAGAATAAACAAGAAGATTCCAGCAGCTTCCGCATGTCAGCCAGAGCTGCTTCTTGCAGGAGACTTTAAAGCTGTCTCAGCACCAATTCTTGTCAGGCTCTTGGCTCAGAGAGACTTAACTAATGCCCCAGTCTGTCTTCAGCACACATTAAGGCAGTGCCAGATGCTTTGACATCTCCTAACTGATTGAAGGAGAGCCTGCCTCAAGGCACCCAGGAGGGATAGCCCGAGGGGCTCTGCGCATTTTCTAACTGTAAACACAGCGTCTCTCACACCCAACATTGAGGCCCTGTGCGTTTTTTTCCCAGCAGCAGCAGACAGGCAGCTGCATTAACTGTTTCAGGGTTCCTCACTCTGCTCTGAAAATTCATTCTGGTGTGGGTTTCATTTTTGGTTTTTGTTTTTAAATCCAAGTAGTTTTCTTTTTTTCAATTTTACTTTTGCGCACGCACGCACACACGTGTGAGTGTATGTGGTATGCAAGTGCCCAAGCAGGCCAGAAGCAAACTTCCCTGAAGTGGATTTGAACCTGGACATTCTTAAGCCCCAGCCGTCTGTCTATGCCATTGGATGTGGTTTCAAACTATAGGACAATGGCCCTTTGTAATAGAGAGTTATTCCTGGGCACTACACGCGCCCACGGCTGCTTGTGTTTAGCCCCAGAGTAAGCTATCTCTTACCCCTGTGAGGTGGGAGGTGTTGGTGGGATAAGTCCATGGAAGGGGAGGATTGGGGAGTACACAGCAAACAAGGCCAAATCTTACATGCCTTGACCTACCTTCAACCCAAGACCTTGTCCACGATTGGCAGGAGCTCAGCCACTGAGCTCCATCTGGAGTAACATGTGCTTGTCCGTCTGTCTGTCTGCCTATGACTCTGTGCCCCCTCCCACTCCGTGTGTATATGAATATGTATGTTGTATCTGTCTCTGTGTCTCTGCATCTGTTTGTCTGTGACTGTGTACACGTATCTGTGTGTGTGTGTGTCTGTCTGTGTGTCTGTGTCTATCTGTGACTTGTACATGTATGTCGGTTTCTCTGTGTGTGTGTGTGTGTTTGTCTGCCTGTGTGTCTGTGTTTGTCTGTGACTTGTACACGTATGTCTGTTTCTGGGTGTGTGTGTGTGTGTGTGTGTGTGTGTGTGTGTGTGTGTTTGTCTGTGTGTCTGTGTTTGTCTATCTGTGACTTGTACATGTATGTCGGCTTCTCTCTCTCTCTCTCTGTGTGTGTGTGTGTGTGTGTGTGTGTGTGTGTGTGTAGCATATCTTACCCTTGTGCATGGCCAGACACTCCACAGCCCACCATGGTCCTCAGAAAGACAAACCAGACGTAGGATGGGGAGAAAGAGGTCAGTAAGGAGAAGTAGGCTCCCCACAGGAACGAGAGCAGCAGAATCTGAAACAAGGAAAGAGCTCTTGTTACCAGGACCCGCTGGGGAACCAGGACCCGCTGGGGAACGACCGGGCCCCTGACACTTTCTGGAGTGGATGCCCCCTCTGTCTGACCTCAGCTCCGCTGGGAAGCTGGGCTGCAGCAACTGCTGCTCTCCTACAGTCTTCACTGGCACGGCCCAGGCCACTGTCATGTCTCCAAGTGTCTAGTGAGTCCACCCTGAGAGGCCACAGAAGGCAAAGTTCTGCCATCCCTCCCCACGGGGCTGTTAGGAGCACGGGGAGGCCTTGCATTGCAAAGAGTAGAAGCAGCAACCTTAAAGCCTTTTCTCATTTACAAGAAACTCGAGGAGAGGTTTGTGGTGGGGGCTAAGGTTCCCAGGAAAAGCACAGCTATGCTGATGAGGTTACAAAACTGGAAACTGATGGAAACTGAGACTTGGGAAGGCTGGACTATTGCTCCCCCCCCCCCCCCCCCCGGGGGGGGGCGGCCCGGGGGGGGGGGGGCCGGGGCCCCCCCCCCCCCCGCGGGGCGCGGGTCCGGTCTCTTCTGGGTTTTTCCCCCCCCCCTTCCGCCCTTTTTTCCCCCCCTTTTCCCCCTCACATCTGGAGCCAAATTATCCTAGGGTTATCTCTAGCTCTCTGAATAGCCATTTTCCACCCACCCTTGTATCTGACCCAGCGTCTCAGTGGTTATAAGGCAAAACCTTTGGGTTACATTAACTTAATGGAAGACTAACTTTTACTGTCCCCAAGCTAAGAATGTCATCAGACAGCATCTGGGCCCTACAGCAGACATTTCCCTGCTTTGCTGTAAGCCACCAAATCTAACGTCCCCAGCCTGTGTACTGGTTATTAAATAGCAAGACTAAGTTGGAATGTTGTGCTAGTTAGAGCCATCAATGCTATGCTGAGACACCATGGCCAAAAGCAACGTGGGGAGGAAAGGGTTTATTCTGCTCACACTTCCGCATCACTGCTCATCATTGAAGGAAGTCGGAACAGGAACTAAATGGGGCAGGAACCTGGGGGCAGGAGCTGATGCAGAGGCCATGGAGGGTGCTGCTCACTGGCTTGCTCCTCCTACTCTCCTATGGAATTCAGGACCAACCCCAGGATTTCTCCACCCACTGTGGGCTGGGCACTCCCCCATCAGGCACTAAGACAAAGCGCCACAGGCCTGTCTACAATCTGACCTTAGGGAGGCATTCTCTCAACTGAGGCTCCCTCCTCTCTGATGACTCTAGCTTGTGTCAAGTTGACATAAAACTAGCCAGCACAAATGTGGTACTTATGGTAACCTTACTCTGTTTCTGTGGACCATCACTTGTGTTTGACTCCTGCATAGGCTATCTCTTATCCCCTCTGAGGTGAGAGGTTCATGGATGGGAAGGATTGGGAGGGTGCCCAAAAGAGTGTGTATGTGTGTGTGTGTGGGGGGGTCAAATCCTACATGGCCCGACCTACCTTCCAGCGGCCATATCTGTCAGCCAAGACACCAAAGAGGATGCTGGAGACCATGTAGCCAAAAAACACCATCTGGAGTCGGAATGAAGACAAGCAATGCTCTAAGCAGAACGCACAAGTAAGATGTGCTCATTTCCTTGGTTAAGCAGATCTGGAGGTAGGCTGCTTCCCAAAGCACTGCAAGGCCAGGGAGCACAAGCCGGCTCCTGAGGTTGGTGTCCATACTTCGTGTACAAGCACACGTCACCGACAAGACCCACAGAGCAGGGAACTACTTTCCTTCTCCCATCCACTGGCCTCCTGCCGTGCTCGGCACAGAGCGATGACCTTCCCTTGTAATTTAAGATCTAGTCAAGCCTGCTATGCCCTACTCCTACACAAGCTGCTGCCACTGACCCAGTCTTTCTTTGTATTATCACACTCACACACACACACACACACACACACACACACACACACACTTTAAATGAATACCTGAACCAACTATCAACCTAAAAGCTTCTCAAGGTCTGGGGCCGGTGATCAGTTGGTAGGACGTTTGCTTAGCGTTCACAAAGCCCTGGGTTCCATCCCCAGCGCCACATAAAAGTATGCCATTATGGTTCATGCCTGTAATCCCAGCACTCGGGAGGTTGGAGGAGGGGGGTCAGAGAGCTAAGATCACCAGCTTGGGCTACATGGGTACCGGGAATCATGGAGTTGGCCTGGTCTAGCTGCCTCGAGAGGCTTGAGTCAGGTGAGGATTCATGGCTCCTGGGGCACTGTGTTTCCTCCAGTTTCTAAGAAACCAAGGTACCCCATCATGCAGTGGAGCACCCAGGCCACCTGTAAATCTCTGCATTCCCTAGAAGTCAGCGAAGCGTATAGAAGCGTGGCTGCACAATTAGTCTTAGACATTAATCTTGATTACCCAGTGTTGCTTGCAAACATTATTGTACCCTGGCAACTACAACTGTAGTCTCTTTTTTGTTTTTGATTTTTTGTTTGTTTGTTTGTTTCCAGACAGGGTTTCTCTGTGTAGCCCTGGCTGTCCTGGAACTCACTTTGTAGACCAGGCCTGCTTCTTTCTGTCTTCCAAGTACTGGGATTGAAGGTGCCACCACCCAGTGTGTTCTGTTTCTGAAAGTGTATAAAGTCTGATTGCTTGCAATAAACTTGTCTCAGTCTTATTCTTGCTGAGACCTCCTCCAACGCTGCCTGATTTTCACTCCCACAAACCCTATCAGGAGACCCTGATTGCTAACTAAGTGCTGGCACTTACACACATAGGCCCTGTCTCAATAAACAAAGTATCTGAGCTATAAACCGCAAGGTGAAGCCGACTTGCTCTCCTCTCTTGTGCAGCCTTTACTCAGCTCTGGTTCTGTGTGCGGCGGGGCAGCTGGCACCCGCTTCTCCGCCTTCCCGACAATTGCTTTTCCCCTTCGGAACACTCATGGCTGATGCCTCCAGGAAATCAGAGGTACAGTGGCAGGCTGCTTCCAGCACTTCTCAGGAAAGATGCTGCCCCCCTCTCTGCTGCCTGCTTTGTTTTTCCTCTTTCCCACCCCTCATAAGAAAGCCATCATACGTGCACATCTGCCCCACCCTTTTCTGTACTGCGGAGCAAACCTTAGGCCCCCAGATACTCTCCTTTATAAATCATTTTTAATTAGCATGCAAGTTGTATGCAATGGGTTTCATTATGGCATCTTCATGTACTTTTAAAAAGCACGCGTGTTTAAGTGTGTTGTACATGAGGGTGTCCGAGCAGCCCAGAAGAGACGACCAGATACTTGGAGCTGGGTTACAGGTGGTTGTGAGCTGCCCAACATAGGTTCTGGAACTCAAACTTCTTCTGCAAGAACAGTGGGTGCTCTTAACATTCCAAACGTTTCTTTACGACCCCTCATTCCCTACTCTTTTCCTTCCTCCTCCTGCTCCCTGCTGCCCCTCCCTCCTTCTGCCATGTCACACGTGTTCTATTACCTTCACCTTTACCTTCCCCAACACTAAGACCTCTCACGGCCCTCATCTTGGCCTCATGACATTTATCTGCCTTAAACACGTATTTTAAAACTATAATCTAGAGCGGCCGAGCGGCCGGCCTGGAGCTTCAGAGTGGCCCAGAAGCATCGACAGCAGCAGCTTCCAGAAACTATCTTAAGAAGTGTCCCTGAGAAAGAGCACCTGTGTCCCAGCCAGCATCCAGTGCCATCCTCTATACGAGATACCCAGCCGCATCAGCAACCACCAGAGCCTCAGACCCAACTGCACACCACAGAGGAGCGGTCGCCAGAGCGGTGGACCCACCTGCACCTGGAGGAGTGATCACCAGAGCCTCTTCCCTGCCTGCACCTGGAGGAGTGATCAATGGAATGACAGCCCCCAACTGCACCAACTGGAGGAAGGGAGGACCCCCCCCCAAAACGCAGGCTCCAACTGTATGACTGGAGGGAGAGATGGGCAGACAACTGTGTAAGAACACACTCAACAACATAAAGAGCAATGGAGCACCACCAGAAACTAGTGGTTCTACAACAGCAAGAGCTGAACATCCCAACACAGATAAAGGAGGGGAAAAAATCCTTAAAAATAGCTTTATGAAGATGATTGAGGCCCTTAAAGAGGAAATGAAAAATTCCCTTAACGAAGTAGAGGAAAAGACAAAAAAATAAAATGGAAGAAATCAACAAATCGCTTCAAGAAAAAGCAATCAAACAGGTAAAGGAAACTGTTCAAGACTTAAAAACTGAAATAGAGGCAATAAAGAAAACACAGAGGGAAATCTGGAAATGGAAAATCTGGATAAATAATCAGGAACTACAGATGCAAGCATAAACAACAGAATACAAGAGATAGAAGAGAGAGAATCTCAGAAGCTGCAGATAAGATAGAGGAAATAAACTCATCACTCAAAGGCAATGCTAAATCCAATGAATTCTTAACACAAAATACCCAGGAAATCTGCAACACCACGAATAGGCCAAACCTAAGAATAATAGGGATAGAAGGAAAAGAAGTACAGTTCAAAAGCACAGAAAATATATTCAACAAAATGATAGAAGAAAACTTTCCCAACCTACAGAAGGACATGCTTATGGAACACAATGAAAGCAATGCTAAGAGGAAAGTTCATAGCACTAAGTGCCTACATAAAGGAACTGGAGAAATCCCACACTAGTGAATTAACAGAACAACCAAAAGCTCTAGAACCAAAAGAAGCAAACTCACCCAGGAGGAGTACATGGCTGGTAATAGTCAAATTGAGGGCTGGAATCAATAAAATAGAAAGAAACAAAGAAAACAATACAAAGAATCAGTGATACAAAGAATTGGTTCTTTGAAAAATATCAACAAGATAGACAAACCTTTATCTAAACTAACCCAAAGACACAGAGAGAAGATCCAAACTAACAAAATCAGAAATGAAAAAGAGGGATATTATAACAACAGACACTGAGGAAATCCAAAGAATCATCAGGTCATACTCCCAAAACCTGTACTCCACAAAATTGGAAAATGTAAAGAAAATGGGCAATTTTCTGGATAAGTACAGCACAGCAAAATTAAACCAATACCTGATAAATAAATTAAACAGCCCTATAACCCTTAAGGAAATATAAACAGTCATCAAAAGTCTTCCAACCAAAACAAGCCCAGGGCTAGATTAGCTTCAGTGTAGAATTCTACCCAGAATTTCAAAGAAGATCTAATACCAATTTACTTCAAATTGTTGCACAGAACAGAAATAGAAGGGACATTGCCAAGCTCTTTTTACAAGGCTACAATTATCCTGTTACCTAAACCACACAACTAAGTACACAACTAAGATAATTACAGACTAATATCCCTCATGTACATTAATGCAAAAATACTCAATAAAATACTGGCAAACCAAATCCAAGAACACATCAGAAAAATCTATCATGACCAAGATGCAGGGATTTTTCAACATATGGAAATCCATCAATATAATCTACCATATAAACAAACTGAAAGGAAAAAAATAAAACACATGATCATCTCATTAGATGCTGAAAAAGCCTTCAACAAAATCCAACACCCCTTCATGACAAAGGACTTGGAGAGAACAGGGATACAAGCAACATACCTAAACATAATAAAGGCAATATATAGCAAGCCAACTGTCAATATCAAACTAAATGAAGAGAAGCTCAAAGTAATTCCACTGAAATCAGGAACAAGACAAGGCCATCCACTGTCTCCATTTCTATTCAATATAGTACTCAAAGTTCTAGCTAGAGCAATAAGACAACAAAAGGAGACCAAGGGGATAGAAATTGGAAAGGAAGAAGTCAAACTTTCACTATTTGATGATGATATGATAGTATACATAAGTAATCCCAAATATTCTACCAAGCAACTCCTACAACTGATAAACACCTTCGGTAATGTGCCAGGATACACGATTAGTAAAAAAATAAATCAGTAGCCCTCCTATATTCAGATGACAAATGGGCTGAGAAAGAAATCAGAGACACATCAGCCTTCACAGTAACCACAACAGCATAAAGTATCTTTGGGTAACTCTAACCAAACAAGTGGAAAACCTGTATTACAAGAACTTCAAGTCTTTGAAGAATGAAAACTGAGAGGATATCAGAAAATGCTCTTGAATAGGTAGGATTAACATAGTAAAAATGACAGTCTTCCCAAAAGCTATCTACAGATTCAATCCCAGCACAATTCAACTTCATATGGAAAAACAAAAAACAACAAAAACCCAGAACAGCCAAAACAATCCTGTACAATAGAGGAACTTCTGGAGGCATCACCATCCCTGACTTCAAGCTTTATTGTAGAGCTACAATAATGAAAACAGCTTTGTATTGGCATACAATCAGACAGATAGACCAATGGAATCAAATCGAAGATGCTGATATTAATCCACACACCTATGAACACCTGATTTTTGACAAAGGAGCTAAAGTTATACAATGGAAAAAAAAAACCATCTTTAGTAAATGAGGCTGGCATAACTGGATGCTGCAGATAGATCCATATCTATCTCCATGCACAAAACTCAAGTCCAGATGGATCAAAGAACTCAACATAAATCCAACCATACTGAGCCTCATAGGAAAGTGGGAATTGCCTTGAACACATCAGCACAGAAGACCACTTCCTAAATAGAACACCAGTAGCATAGACACTGAGAACAACAATTAATAAATGGGACCTCCCGAAACTGAGAAGCTTCTGTAAAGCAAAGAACATGGTCAATGAGGCAAAATGGCTCCCTACATAATGGGAAATCATCTTCACCAACCCCATATCTGTCAGAGGGCTGATCTCTAAAATATACACAAGAAACTGGACACCAAAATACTAAATAATCCAATTAAAAAAGAATAAGGCATAGATCTAAACAGAAGAAACTCAAATGGCTGAAAGGCACTTAAGGAATTGCTCAACATCCTTAGCCATCAGAGAAATGCAGACCAAACAACTCTGAGATACCATCATATATCTGTCAGAATAGCTAAGGTCAAAAACACCAATGACAGATATGGCCAGGAGGATGTGGAGATAGGGGAACACTCCTCCATTGCTGGTGGGAGTGTAAACTTGTACAGCCATTTTGGAAATCAGTATGGCAGTTTCTCAAATAATTGGGAATCTACTTCAAGGCCCAGGAATACCACTTTTGGCCATATACCCAAAGGATGTACACTCATACCACAAGGACATTTGCTCAACTATGCATAGCAGCATTATACATAACAGCCAGAACCTGGAAACAGCCTCGATGCCCCTCAACTGAAGGATAAGGAAAAAATAAAATGCAATGACATCATGTAATTTGAAGGCAAATGGGCAGAACTAGGGAAAAAAACATCCTGAGTGAGGTAACATAGACACAGAAATACAAATATGGTATGTACTCACTCAAGTGGATATTAGGCATCAAGCCAAAGGTAGCCAGTCTACTGTCCACAACCCCAGAGAAACTAGGTAACAACGAGGACCCCAACAGAGATATATGTGGATCTACCTCGGAAGGAGAAATAGACAAGAGCTCTTGGGTAAATGAGACCATGGGAGAGAGAGTGGAGGGTGGGAGGGGAGAGTATTGGGGAAGATTGTTTTAAGCTGTGTGACTTTTGTTTGCGCTGCATTTGTTTAACTCAGTGAAGCTGTGATCCTGTGCCTGTCTAAAACACCTGATGGTCTAATAAAGAGCTGACCAGCCAATAGTGAGGCAGGAGCGAGGATGGGTGGGGCTGGCGGGCAGAGAGGAAGCAGGAGAGACGAAGCGGGGACAGCAAGAGAAAAGGAGGGAGGCGTGAGGGGCAGCCCACCCAGCCACCCATCAGTAAGAGTTGCTGTGGCCTCGGGGAACCTTCTGTGTTTACACATTAATTTTAGGATTTTCTTTCTGGTTCTCCAAAGAGTCCCAATGGAATCTTGATGTGGTCCTCACCAATGCGGCCACTTCCATAGTGTTAATTCTGCCAAACCTCAAGCATGGGCTCGTCCCATTCTTTGACATATTCCTTATGTCCATGACTTTTGCCCTGGCTCTCTGCTTTCTGGGACAGAACCCTTGACTCAAAGCCTCTGTTGCCCCTGAAGCCTGCGTTTCTGTAGCCCTGTTGGGAAGCACATAGCAACCAAACTGACTTCACCCCTGCCCCGCACGCCTTTCTCCTGACTTCACCCCTGCCCTGCACGCCTTCCTCCTGCCCTCCCTGTGGAGTGGCACAGCCTGGAACCCCAGCAGAGCTGACCTGGGGGAGGAAAGTGAGGATGGGGGCAGCCTCGGCCACCACGCAGTGAGAGTGAGTGCCTGTCGCCTCAACAGACACCTCCGCTTTTTCAGAAAAGGACAGATGTGCTGCTGTGACTGAACACGAGTCTGGGCTCCAAGCCTTCCGTTCCCCAAGGCACAGAAAGAAGCAGGATTTGAACTTACTACCTACACATTAGGAGAACACAGAGCAGTTCTGAGGGAAACAGTGGGGTCCAGCACAGATCAAAACTTCACAGGCAGAATTCTGAGAAGGCTGTGAGTGCAAACCAACCGTCCCTACCAACCCACCAAGCACGGTGGCTCCTCTGATCGTATCCCTGCAGGCTCGGAAGGGTGTAAGCCAGGGAAGTGGGGGGGGGGGACATTCGAGGAGAACTATCTCCCAGGCAGTCCCCTAAGTCTGGCGGCATCCCAGAAGGTCTTCCTTTCTAATGACCAGTAAGTCAACCCTTTCCCAATTACCCTGTGCTCGGGACATCTGAGGTTGATGCTGGGCCTCAGGAATCCCTCACCTCCGGGCACTGCATCACTGCAGCCGGCCCTTCTGCCATGTCTGCTCAGAGTCGTTGGAACACACAATCGTGGCCCTCTGTAGGACCCTTCAGTCACTGCTCCCATCTGCCACCCGGCAAACAGAAAGCATGCTTTAACACCCACTTCATAGGAAACGTAACGACTGTGGAGTCATGAATGCTTTCGTTAAGGTTGCATTTTGTGGCATGGAATGTGAACAGGAATGTGACACGCACACTGCATTGATGTCACCCTCGGGGAGCGCTTATAGCTTTGGCGGATGTTGAGAACCAGCGAAGATCAGCTGGGGGGCCAGAAAGGTGGGGTGGGGCTGGGGCAGTGCATGGAGGTGAGGCTGTTCTAGAGTCACTGGGAAGGTACCATCGGCTGGCAATGCTTGGCTACTGGAGGCTATTCACTAGCAGGAAAGAGACAGACAGACAGACCAAGACAGAGAGATAGAGAGGGGGGGAGGGAGGGAGGGAGAGAGGACTGGGAGAGAGACACACACAGAGAGAGGCATTGAATGCTAACTAACTGCTCTGGGGTCTAGAAACCCATGGGCTTTGGATGCCAGCACTCACTCCTCATCGTGGGAAAGGCTAGGGTTGGCTCTCAGCTCTTGGAGTACCGGAAGGGAAGCCAGACCTGCAGGTTCTTCATTCACACAGCAGGGACTCACCGTGGTGACAAATGCCACCTGCCAGTTCTCCAGCCGCCATTCACAGCGGATAACGGGAGACACCACCGCTATTAACATGATCTCCATGGCCTCCACAACCTTAAAGAGAAGGTAGGAGACAATGTCACAGCTACACTCCAGCTCACGTCACCTCCACATAGGCCTGTCACCCTCCTAGTCCCAATGTCCTCTTTCCCTTTCCCCTAGGTAAATAAAAAGCTAGGGTAGCTGGACAGTGGTGGCACTCGCCTTTAATCCCAGTACTCAGGAGGCAGAGGCAGGTGAATCTATGCGAGTTCGAGGCCAGCCTGATCTACAAAGAGAGTTCCAGGACAGTCAGGATTGCAGAGAGAAACCCTGTCTTGAAAAACAAAACAAACAAAAAACAACAACAAAAACCCCAATGGGAGAGCCAGGCACAGTAGCATACACCTCTGGTCCCACTACTCTGTAGGAGAAACACGCACACTGACGGAAATGACCGAGACTCTTAGGGTATCTAGAACCTTCCTGACAGCAGGTGTTTGAGGTTTTACCAAAACACATGTGCTCAAGAGCCATGCCTACCCCACACAAAATGACCCACGGTCCTCTCCCTTCTCCCCTACAGCTCGCCGGAAACCTCTGAGATGAGTCTGTTATCGCCAGAACAGACAGGTGCATTCGGCTGTTCCCAGACAACCCATGACAGAGGCTGATGAAATGATGTCCACAGGACTGCCCCTCCCTGGAATGGACAGTGCCATGGGTTCAGAGGTTCTCGAAGGGGACTCACCCCGGTGCTGCCCATGATTAGAAAGAGTGCGATGTGGAAGCGTCCGAACCCGATGGTCTCCACAGCATCCTCCACGGTGAATGTCTTTGTCTCTGACGAGGAAGGCAGAGTGTAAGGACCACTGGAGTGGAAGGGAATCCCCGAGGATTGTGGCTCACATTTGCAAGTATTTGCAACACTATTATTATTATCGTATTAGGGTCTTCTGTGGCCTAGACTGGCCTCAAGCTCCTATGTAACAGAAGATGACCTTGAACTCCTGATCTTCCCGCCTCTACTTCTCCAGAGTTGGGATTACAGCCATGTACCTCCATACCAGTGTGTGTGGTGCTGAGAGCCACTCTAGGATTGCATGCAGGCTAGGCAAACGCGCTACTAACTGACCTTCAACCTCGACCCCTAACTCATGATTATAACGGTGTTAAGATTAGTTTGAAAGCCCGGCCTTCTATGGCGGTCTTACCTTTCTGCTGCCGCTCTGGGGTTGCCTGGCTCAGCTTCCGAAGGCTAATGATTGTCACGGGTTCTGTCTGCCTGGCTGCCATCTAGATCACTCCAACTCCACACACAGCTTCCCTAATGAAGCCAGGATGAGTAGCAGAGAGAAAATATAGTGGCTATAGAACACACACATCACATGGCAAGTCCACTCCATGTACAGAAGGCAGGTTAAAACAAAAAAAGTTGGTGTGGAGACAAGAAGATTCCTGGGGCTTTCTGGTCAGCCAGCCTGGCCCAACCCATGAGTTCCACGCCAGTGAGAAACCATGGCATTTCTGAGGGACCACACCCAAGGTTGACCCCTAGCATATACACACATGTACATACATGCATAGATAACTAAGGTTGACCTCTGACCTACACCTACACACACACACACACACACACACACACACACAGAGTACCCACGCATGTGCACACACAAAACCTAAGGTATTTTTTTCTCTGACATGTTTCCTCCACAGACTACTCTCATGTCTAGATTCCCTTCTTCTATTTACTAGGCACCTGGCTTGAGGAATCTGTCTTCTTGTGGATCTCCTTGTGCTCACCCTAAAAGGAGGATAATGTAGTAATGGCACCTGACTCAGGCTGGTGTGAGGTGCAAACAGGTTAGCTCACAGGAAGTGACAGGTTAGCTCACAGGAAGTGCTTATCCTACAGTTGGCATGCCCTGCCCCGCTGAGAGGAAGCTAAGAGCCCCGGTCACTCCCACTGTGAGGACTGCTTAGAAAGGACACATTTGGTGCCACAAAAAAGAATGATGCACACATTTAATCCCGGCACTCAGGAGGCAGGGGCAGGCAGATCTCTGAGTCCAAGGTTTAAGGCCAGCCTGGCCCATAGAGCGAGTTCCAGGACCACCAGGGCCACACAGAAAAAAAACAAATGGAAGTTCAGGGGCAAAGGGTTGAGGAAACCGGAAGCTTGAGGGCAATCTGTTAGAGTTGGAGGGAAAGGCTGGGGCAGGGAGCTGTAAATCCCACATCAGCAGGGGGCGGGGGGGGGGGGAGGACAGACGGGGGGACGGATGGACAGACGGGACAGGGATGGACAGATGGGACTGCATGGAGGACAGCCTCCTGGTGGTAGGTGGCTGTGTGGTGGGGCAGAGAGCTTTAGAAAATAAATAAGGGGGACAGGGAACATGGCTCAGTGGTTAAGACTGCTCTTACAGAGGACCTGGTTCAGCTCCCTGCACACACACACACACACACACACACACACACACACACACACACACACACGTACGTGGACGCATGCACGCACAGGTGTGTACAGGACGGAGAACTCTGTCTTTTTTTCCCTATGCATTTGTGGGCATGTGAGTGTGGAAGACATCCTCAGGTGACATCCTCGAGAATGCCATCCACCAACTTTGAGACAAGGTCTTCCCTTGACCCGGAGCTCACAGATTAGGCTACACTGGCCAGTCAGTGAGCCCTGGGGTCTCCCTTCTGATCCTGCCTCCCCAACACCTGGCTTTTTATGTATGTCCCAGGCATCTGAACTCAGGTCGCATGCATACATGGGTCGTCCCTTTATGACAGCCATCTCTCCAGCCCCTAGCCGGTAGTTTTTAGTGAAGAGGTGGCAACCGATTATAAGACAGACTTTGCAGCGCAGTAAATACTCTCCCTCTTGCCACCACCACCACCCCACCCACCCACCCCACCCACCCATCCCCCACAGCCACCAATTGCTCCTCAGTCAGGTGGGGTCTCGTGAGGAAGAGGAGAGGGGTGGACAGGACAGAAGCTAAACCACATTAACTCGGGAAACGTGGAGAAAGACTCAGCATCCCCAGCCAGCCCTTCCTCAACCACCAGAGAGGATGGGATATGCAACCCAGCTTCAAAGTGTGGGTAGATAGATATGGACAGGGTAAGGATTGACTCTGCCACTCAGAGGCCCAGGTGGCCCCCTGAGTAATCAGACTTCCAAGGGACAGACATACTTCAACTGTGTTTTGATTTATGGATTTTTTTCTTTTTCTTTTTTTCTCCCTTTTTTTTCCCCCAGACATATCATCAATAAGGACCTCAATTCCCAATTCCTAGAAGCCACAAAAAATTTAGCCAGAGTGTCTGTGGGTCTCTATAGCAGCACAGCCCTAGGGTGGGGTCAGGGACAGGAGAGTCACTGGGTTTGCTGGCTGCCAGCCTCGCTCCAGGTTCATTGAGAGACTGCCTTAAAGGGATAGATGGTGTGTGAACAACACTCAGTGTCCTCCTCTGACTCCTGGGAATGTGCGCAGGGCACAACCCTGTACACACATGTGCATGTCCCCCACACACATACACAAACATACATAATAGACACATTTTAAAAAATAATGACAGTTTCACACCCCATTTGCCTCCAGCAGCACACACATAGTTGGTTTCCCCTCCCGACCCTGAACGGCAGCAATAGAAGCAGGAACACACGTGTTGCCCAGAAGTTGCTCACCTGTGTATCCCTTGGAAAGCGTTACGATTCCGGGCCTCTCTGAGCACTGTCTCAGAGCCACAGCCCGTCTGCAGCTCTGGAGGCCTCTCTGCCTCTATAGACAGTACCTTCCCTAGAGCCTGGCCTCTACCCCAGCCCCTACCCTCCTTCAGCTCAATTCTCCAAGCAAGAGAGCCAGCTGGAGTTCTGGGTGAGTGACATGGAGGGCACACCCCCTCCCACACAGCCCTCACCTGATCCCTTGTTAAAGAGACAGGACACAGCTAGCTGCCAAACCTTGAGGGGGCCAGCTTGTGGCTCTCAGGTGGGAGGGGCATTTCTGAAAGAGCTGGGGTGGGCTGTGCCTTTGAGCCACCTATGCAGGGTGCATGTTTTAGATGGACGGCCAGCAGGACACCAGCCAGCTGAAAACCTGAACACTCCCTGGTGATCACAGCGGCAGGAGACTAGGAGCTTCCCATAGGCACTTACGGCCTATTCTTCCTGTTAGCGGTCATTGGCTGAGCTCCATTGCCCAGGTCTTATGATCTCTTTTCTGCCATCCAGAGAGATGGAGAGCCTCCTAGGCACTTGGTAGGGGAAATGCCTCCCATTTCTTGTCCAGTGGTGCCCACGATGAGGTCCCACAGCTGGAACTGAAACACAGATACCAATTACCATCCTTTGACCTAACCTTGGTTAAGTGAACCCTTTAAAAGACAGACCTCAAACTGCTGTCCAGGCTGCGACACAGTCCCCGACCGCTTCCTTTCAGTCTTGGTAGAAGGCAGCGAGAGGGGTCTAAAAGACAGGAGTCACAAGCTGGGAGGATGGCGAGGGATAAAGCGCTTGCCAAGCATGAGGAGGACCCAAATCCAAATCTCCAGAATCTGGCAACAGCCAGGCACGCTTTTGTCAATCTATAATCTCATTGCTCCAGAGGCCAGCTAGCCTGGTACACACAATGACATGGAAAACTGTCCTCCAGTCTCCACGAGCGTCATGGTATACATGCAAACACAGGACTTAGTCAATTGAGAAGCACACAGACCTGTGACTTATTCTTAGTGCTACTCCTAAACAGTGGCGACAGAGACAGCAGTTCACCTGGGTTTGGATCATTCTGACAAAACCGCCCACAGAATGAAATCTCCTCAGGTGCTTGGGGCATCACCAGTCCAGGCACCCTAAGAAACTGGTTCTGGGCTCTCAGACCCAAAGGGTAAGGAACCCAACGATGAAGTAGTCTCATTCCCCGTACACCGGTCTCCAGAACCCAGCCCAGCATCTGCTCCCTTCCGCAGCTACTCCAGCACAGTGGGCGCTAACAGTAAGCAGTGCCCCGAGAACGATGTCATGTTGTCACATTTCATTTCTCAGGACTTAGTGATACAGCCAACCAGGCCAGGGCTGGGCCTCCCTCGACACAGAGGGCATCAGCTGTGCTCCAGTGGGGGGTGACAATGTTTGAGGAAGCCCCTAAGCTTGTAACGCCAAGCCCCTGACAAGGGGGAAATGCAGGGAAAACAAACCTAATCCTTCCCCAGGATTAGGTTGTGTAACTCCATTGTCCAGGGTTGGCCTCTAACTGTAGATACTAAACCTCGTGGATTAATTTTGAATAAAGACATCTTAAAAAACAGTGAACAAAGCAGACATTTATTTCTGTGATTATAACCCTTGAAATATTGCAGGAGACCCAGGTGCGGTGGCCTGTGCCTATCATCTCAACTTTTGGTAAGTGGAGGCAGAAGGAGCCAGAGTTCAAAGTCACCATCGGCTACGTAGCTATTTCCAAGACATTTAGAGCAAATGAGACCTTGTCTCAAAAGCAGATATAAAGTAAAACAAGAAACAAACCATCACAAGAAGATAGTGGTCTAGTGTCTCCTTCCCCATTTCCCAGTTACTGCAGTGTTTGAGCATTTGATTGCACACAATCCCAGTGAAAAGCAGCCCCTCGGCTACTCAGTTAAAGCCTGCCAAACCCCACACCTCACATAGCATCGCACTGTAGGGCTGCTGCGTGGGTCACCAGGCCTGGCCGGGACATCGGGGACAAAAGTGAACTCCTTCAGCTGGCACCAGAACCAGAGCAGCAGAGCAGCCCTACTCCTCAGCAGCCCCCTCCAGGATGTGCTTGAAGGAGAAGGGGGAGAACTTGGAGCCAGCCCCCTCATAGAACTTGTTCTGGAACTCCACCCTGTGGTGACAGGGAAGGGGGAAAAAAAACAGATTGAAATGTAAGAGGCCGGCAGGTAGGAGCAGGGCACAGAACACCATGGGAACCAGCTGACCTTTTAAGCCTCCCTCTTACCACGCCCCCTCCTCCCACCTGTCTTCCTCAAGCTTCACGGGCCACAGCGCACACCTCCCACACATTGTGAACTTCCACAGCCTCCATCCAAGCAAGCATGCCCCCCCTCCACACACACTATCTGATAAACACAGCACAGGAGGTGGCCGCTCTGCACGAGTGGTGTGCGCCTTCCCATCGTCCCTTGACTCCCAGTTGTGGAGCCCAGGCTAGCACAGGAGGAGGCAGGGGCTTGGCCTGGACTTTTTGAAACCATTTTATGACCAGTCTCACCCATGATAGTTTCTGTTCCGTGATGTTAAGGAGGAGGCGCGTACTTCACGCAGTGGAGGGAATGTTAGCACGCAAGCGTGATGCTCCAGTTTCCTCCACTCAGTACGTAAACACAAGAAATGTTTCCTAGAGCTGCAGAGATGGCTCAGCATTCATAGCGCTGGCCGCTCTTCTAGGGACCTGGGTTCGATTCCCAGCACCCACATGGCAGCCCACAACCTTGTCTAACTCCAGCCCCGGGAGATTTGATGCCTTCTTCTGGCCTCCACAGGGGCTGCATGCATGAGCTGTGTAGACATGCATGAGGCAAAACACTCACACACACACACAAGATTTAAAAAAATCAAAAGTTTCCAGACAGTGGCAGCTCGAGTGTGAGTGTGCGCTGAGAATGTCAACGGCTTGCTGTGGCACTCTCCAGTTTGGCTCGTTCGAATGCTGCCACTCCTACGCTTTGCAACCACAACGGCCAAACAGGCCTGTTCACTCTACAAGCCCATCTCAGACCTGTCACCTGACTCCTTAGGAAGCCAACTGCAACAACAAGTAAGCAGAGAGCAGAGGAACATTACGGGGCAGTCAGCACACCCAGGAGCACGGGTCACATCATGCACACATCATACAAACAGATGACTAAGCCGAGGTTCCACAAACATAGCTAAGTCGTGACTCTGCTCAGTCAGCCAGCCCCACAGCCTGCCCTTCCCCTAAAGGACAAGCGGGCTTACCAATGCAACCGGAGGGCATGCAGGAAGGCCGAGAGACCCTCCATGATGAGGAGGATGGCGACTGTCAGAATGGCGAAGACGGCAAAAATGATGAAGACCCCAATGAGCCCTCCCCAGCCCCGAAGGCGAAGGCCGATGTTCATCACCATGGTCCACAGCACCTCGGACAGCTCTGTGGGAGCAAGCCACACATCCTCAGCCACCATCCCAAACCCGAAAGCCCCTCTGAAGGCCATGCAGAAGAAGCTTGGCTGCCATAGCTTTGATCATAATGGCGGGCTGTCCAACAAGGAGGAGGCAAACAAAGATTCAATGGGACACTGTTTACCAAGGGGAACAGCCAACTAGAGCCACCAGCAGGGTAACGTATAACTCTGAATAACATGAGATGGGCACAGAGATGCTGAACCTAAAAGAATGCAGGAAGTGTGGTTTGTTTGTAGCTCTCCCTAGGGCCTTAGAGGGGGTGATTAGAAATGAGAGGGATCTTTGCCATGGGATTAGGGAGTGTACGGGCTTATTCGCTCTCATGTTCCAGCTCTCACTCCCTCACCCTTCTGAGGGGGAATGTCAGAAAGCGGCCTTCCACTCGAGCCCACCACGCTGCCACCCTCATTTCAAACTTCCAGCCTCTGGAACTATGAGAGGAAAAAAAAAAATGCCTGTTTCTGGCTGGAGCCATGCAGTCTGAGGCATTTTGTCATGCCGGGCTCAAGTTAAGATTCTGTTCACAAAAATTCAGAAGCATTGGAAATTATAGTAGGTTGCTTAAGGACCAGAAAGACACCCAAGAAAAACATTAAAGAGTCGTTATCAGGGCTGGAGAGATGGCTCAGCACTTGAGAGCACTGGCTGCTCTTCCAGAGGACACAGTTTCACAACTGTCTGTAACTCCAGTTCCAGGGGTCCAAACACCCATGGCAAAACACAATTGCACATAAAATAAAATTGAAAAATAGTCATTATCTGGCAAACAAATGACCCAGAGAAGGCACTGTTGCTTATAAAATACAGAGAGCCTGTCCTCTGGATGATATGATTGACAGCCCCGCCACAACCCAGTTGCACACTCACCTGCATGAGCCAGGCTGAGGGCCCAGAGCCGAAGGTACGAGGCTGTGTTGGAGATGCAGCCCAGGCAGTACTCGATGGTATGGATGGCCTGGTGGACAAAGATGTCTCCAAAGTTGAACTGTAACAGAGCATTTTCTGTCTTATTTCATTAAGTTTTTTTCTTCCCTTCTCTTTCCCTTTCATAGTGAGGACGTTCATTTCCTTTTTTTATTACAGTAATAACTACATAGGTATGGTTACAATATATTTTGATGCATGTATGTAATAAACACTCATGTTATCAGGGTAAGTGGAGACTTTGAACTTCTGCCTTCCAAGTTAGTTACAAACTATATCGTCGGCCAGTCTCCCGGGGGTCACGGTAGAACAGTGACATGGAGACATGGGAAGGGAAAGGAGCCCTTGCCCGGGTATCTAATTGAAGGCTAAAGACTCTTGCCAGCAAGAGTCAAGATTGCTGAGTGCTGTAATTAAAGGTGTGTGCCACCAGCACCCGCCCTGGGCTTCCTTGAACTCTGCAAACCGAGAAGTCAGCCTTCAGTGCTCTGGTCTCAGATACCTCCATACCTCCTCCTCGTGGCCATCCTTAGTCCCGTGGGCCGCTGCGCTCTTCTGTGCAGAAGTGCTCGAGTGACCACCCTCAAGGTCATCCTCATGGATCGTGAAAGACTGCAGCTGTTGGCAAGCAAAGAGGTGGAGACACCATTCAACCTGGCCTCCGAGTTAGTCAAGTAGCAACAAAATGAAGGCCCTAGTTCAAGGTTAGTTACTCACCCTCATCTCTCATGTTCTAATTTTGGGGTTGGCTTTTTTTTTTTTTTTTTTAATGTCATTCTCTTTCTCTCAGACTCCACAGGAATGATAGTTGGGGATAAGAGAAAAGTAGAGTTTAATACCTACAGCCATTTAAAGCATCTGCAATCTCAATACCGCCCACTATATCTTCTCCACTATCAGAAGCAAGCAGAGTCATCTCTGTACAGCTGCTCCCAGTGTTGTCTGGCAGAGGTTAATCTCCCTGAATCCTATCGATTTAGGCTACTATGTAAATCTGAGGCTCAAGTCAGTTTAGACAGAGAGAGAGAGAGACTGAAATTGATCATTGGCCATAGGAAATACTATGGGGTTCCCTACAGATAGCCTATAGCATCATTCTAAGAAGGGAGTGAAATCACTCCCTTAGACACACACAAAGAGTAGCTTTTTGGGTTTTGTTTTTTTTTGAGCCAGGGTTTCCCTGTGTAATAGTCAAGAGTCCTGGCTGTCCTAGAACTCATTCAGTAGGCTAGGCTCAAACTCACTGAGATCCGCCAGCCTCTACCTCCCAAGTGCTGGGATTAAAGGCGTGTACCACCACCATCCAGCATAATGTTTAATATTCATTTCTAAAGTAGAATTATTTGCAAGGCGGTGGTGGCACAGACCTTTAATCATGAGGTAGAGGCAGGTAGATCTCTATTAATCTGAGGCCAGCCTGGTCTACAGAGCAAGTTCCAGGACAGGCTCCAAAGCTACAGAGAGAAAGAAACCCTGTCTCAAACCCCCTTCCCCAAAATAAAACAAAAAATAAAAAAGTAGAATTATCCGGGGGCATGACTATATAGGGTACACATATATACAGGATATGCCTATAATCCTAGCACTAGGGAGGCAGAAGCTTTGAGTTAGGCTAGCCTGGGCTACTTAAAGAATGCCAGACCAGGCAAGGAGGGAGGTGTGTGTGTGTGTGTCTTGAGACTGTCTTCAAAAAACAAGATATAAGAGTGAAATCCTCTCGTGTCTTCAATGACACCGGGTAGGGTACACACACCCTGAGCAGAGACTTACCATGTTTGAGAAACGGAGGATCACTGTGCTGAAGTAAAGGGGCGGGGGTGGGGGGTGGGACTCTACCGAAGGACGCACACTTGAGGCCAGCCTCGCCCTCCAGACCTCCCCAGGCCTCGCAGGGAAGCCCACTGCCGTCTCCCCGGCCCACACTTCCATGTGCTGTGACCCACGGTGGGGCAAACTAAAACCCAGCGCTTACCTGAGATTTCTGGTGTTTGGCTCTGAGAATAAACGGCTTAATCAGAAGCATCCACGGCACAGAGGCCAATGCCACAATGACAAGGAAAGTTTGGACTTCTTGCTGCGAAGACCAAAGTTGATACCAGTCACTAAGATGGCCACAGAGTACTCTTTCCCACGCATAACGGGGTTCCGCACGCTCAGGGGCAAGGGCAGGTACCTCAGCAGCCCTCTGAGCGAAGTCCACCGTCACTTCGACTACATTCCTAGTGCGGACAGAGAAATAGCTGTCCTGTGCCCAAGGAAGGATAGAAACCATTTCTGTGCGGCTCATGTGGGCCCTGTAATACTCTCTTGCCACATGGGGTCTATAAAACAAGAAGTCCTCCTGAGACACGCCATGAAGACAGAGCTAGGCTTCCCTCACCCTTCAGCACTGCTCTGTGGACCCAGTCATTTCAGTTCCAGAAGAAAATTGCCAGGTCACATGACTCCAACCATCTCCTCACCAAAACCAACCCTTGGGTCATTTTATATTAAATCCGTATTTTATATCTTCAGTGTGAGGTAATTGTTTGAGCTCTCTCTCTTCTTCCTCCCTCCTTCCCCTGCCCCTGTGAGAAATGTGGTGACATTTTGTTTGTGCTCTGACAAATAAAGCTTGCCTGGAGATCAGAGTGCGGAGCTAGCCACTGGTTAACCATAGAGGCCCGGCAGTGGTGGCCCACACCGTTAACGCCAGCACTTGGGATCTCACGCCTTTGATCCCAGCACTTGGGAGTCACAGGCCTCTAATGGCAGCATTAGGGAGGAGGAAACAGGAAGTGATGTGGCTGTGAGAGGAATATGAGGCGGGAGGGAGACAGGAGCTTGCCTCCTCTGTCGGGAGTTGGCTAGGTAAGAAGTGGCTGTGCCCGGCTCCTTTGTCTCTCCATCCTTCAGCATTTGCCCCGATATCTTACTCTGGGTTTTTATTATTAAGACTATTAGAACTCGTGCTACAAAGAAAGAGCCCAGGAGTTCCCACGCTACACCGACTTTCTGCCCCTTGTCCCCTCATGGCTTAGATCTGCTCTACCCTCTGAAGCAGTTTGTCAAGCTCACTATTTGACCGGTGCTGAGGCCCCCAGCCTTCCATTTCATGCCGGGCCCTCCCTACTTCTCATTCCCCTTGGTCCTCACCCACACTGCCCAGTCTTGAGGAGCAGGACTGTTGCCTTTCGAAAGGCGTCCTGACTGGGGCAGGGGCAGGAGACCACTCCCAGGCTGGGGAAATGTCCAATGTGGGCCTTCCTGTTTCCTAGGCTGTATTGTGGTAAGACATTTTACCCAGCGGAAACAGTTTATCTGCCCAACTCCTGCTCAAAAGAGGGAAGGGCTGGGTTGGAGAGTGGGCTCAGCGGTTAAGAGCAATGACTGCTCTTCCAGAGGACCCAGGTTCAACTCCCAGCACCCACATGGCAGCTCACAGCTGTCTGTAACTTCAGTTCCAGGGGATCTGACACCCTCACACAGATATACATACAAGCAAAAATACCAATGAACATGAAATAAATAGATCTTAAAAAGGGGAGGAGGGTGAGTGAGTGCTCCTACCTTGTTCTTATCCAATGAACCCCCTGATGAAGCATGAAGCTACCTCACTGACATTCCATTTTACAACCAGACCTCCTGCTCCCGGATGACATACAAAGACAGCCAGAGCAAAGCTGAGAGCCTTCAGTGACTGCCATTTCTTCTAAGCACATGACCCCAGACTAAGATTATAGAAATCCAAAACCATGTCAACAAATTAACCTTCATAGCAGGCCATAGGGAAGGCAGCCAAGTCTCTGTAATGTTTTTCAATACAAGAAGCTGGAAAGCCACTCACTCGCTGCAAAGCCCGGCGCCTCTTCCAGAAGAAGCGAAGCCTGGGCCTCTCTGCAAGCAGGGAACCCTGAAATACCCAGTTACTCTAAGGCCAATGCCTACAAGAAAGGGTTTGTTTGGGAAACCCAAATACACATTCCCTCTGGTGCCAGCATGGAATGAATGAACCTTTAAAATACGCTTTCTTTGTGCTGGCATCCTCAAGTGAGGCACAGAAGGGCCCTCTGAGCTGTGTCTCCTCTCTGATTATTATCTAAAGCCATCTCTTACAAAAGCCTTGTCGGGTGGCATGCTTTCCTCTCGCTTGATGCCTCTGGAAGGAAGAGAAGGCAGCTAGGAGCCAGGAAAAAAGCTCCAAGTCAGCTAGGAATGGAGTGTTTGCAGTCCCTGGCAGAGGAAGAGGCATCTGTGTGATCCTAGCCATAGAATCCTGTCTGGTAGAATTAGGTGGAATTAAGATTGAAGCGGGTCTTCTATTCATTAAAAAAAAAAAAAAATCTGCCCTCAAAATGCATAAGCTGGCTCATCGCTGGGTGAGGCCAGGGTAAAAGAATAAAGACTGATTCATTCATTGACTTCATCTTACGTACAGATCCCTAGAACTGGCATGACAGTAGTTTTTATAGCCTTTCCATTGTGCTGGGCATCTAAGCGATCCAGAGAGGAGCTAAAGAACTCTGCAGAGTGTGTGTGTGTGTGTGGGGGGGGTCAGATAATCTACACAAGTGCCACTTTATACAAGAGATCCCAGCATCTGCGGGTTTGGGGAGCTACAGGGGTTTTCTGTGTCCTAGAACAATCCTCAGTAGAGACTCAGGGGCAGCTGTTAAGAGGCTGAAGGAAGTAGGAAAGACCAGAGGAGGATTAAGTCCAGCTGTTGGAACTTGCTACCCATGGGGGAACAGGAAACGGAGGAGGAAAGTTCTGGCTGACTTTGGGACTCATGGAATAACCTGGCCACATTTTCCAGAATCCCAACATTTAGAAACAGGAACTTCTGCTCATGATTTCACTTCTATTTTCTTTCATGTGAGCCTTAGCTAGAATTTCTTTTTTGTTTGTTTGGGGGTTTTTTTGTTTGTTTGTTTGTTTGTTTCTTAAGACAGGGTTTCTCTGTGTAACAGCCCCAGCTGTTCTAGAACTCACTCTGTAGATCAGGCTGGCCTCAAACTCATAGACATCCATCTGCCTCTGCCTCCCAAGTTCTGGAATTAAAGATGTGCACCACCACCATCCAGCTTAGAATTTGCTTTTCTAGCAAAAGACTTTGATTGTTTGTATTTAGACAATTTCACTGTGTAACCCTGGCAGGCCTGGAACTCTGTAAGACCAGGCTGGCCTCGAACTCACAGAGATTGACCTGCCTCTGCTTCCAGGTGAGATTTATTTATTTACTTACTTATTTATTTTATATTTACTTACATATTTATTTTGTGTGCATGTGGAGGCCACAGGACAACTTGAAGGAGTTGGTTCATTCCTCTCCCGTATGGGCCCCAGAAATTGAACTCAGCCATCGGTGTGGCAGCAAGCCCTTCCCTGCTGCTGAGTTACCTTGCCGGTCTAAGATTTTTAAATCTTTTGAAGGGACCAGGGCCCATTGTTGCTTTTCTTAAGGGCCAGCTTGTTCAGACCTCTGCCCCATATTTATTACTTCACCATCCTATGTTGACTCAGGTTTGACCTCAACCAGACCCCAGGAATTACACCCAGTCCAGTGGCCAATCAGGTCCTCCCCAACCACAAGCAGGAGCTGTTTCTTGCTATCTTCAGTCAAACAGACCCCTGACAGCAACCACAGTTGCTGAGCAGATGTCATGGGGCAATCACTAAATGCTTCTTACACCAGTCAGGGTCTATATCTAATCATGTCAAGGAATGCCGACCTACAGCAAGCTTAAAGGGGACTGATTGACTCTTCCCGGGTGTTTTTTCTGCCTGGAGAATAAAACTGCTTTCTGTAATTGCATATTGGGTGTCTTCTGGTCATCAGGACCCTACACTTAAAGTTTAAAACTTAACACTGGAGTATTTCACCACTCAAGCCAATCCATCTGAAGGTTATGCTTTCCTCTTTTCCCAGCCAGTTTCCAACTCAACAGTGCCATCCCTTGCACAATACCCCCGCAGGGAGCCTCACAATGGCCATCTGTCCCTGTCCCTTACTTAATAAGAATGCAATGTTCTTCCCTGGGTGGGTGCTAAGACAGCTCAGAGAACTAAGATGCAAAGAACTACTCTCCGCAATACTCAAAGAGCACGAGAAAGATCTAACTCAGTGGGTCGGGGGAGGGACTTCCAAAGCAGAGCTACCTGGTGGCTGTACAGGGGAGCGTTGGACTCATCGTAGTCGAAGAGAAACATGCTGATGAAGTGGATGAGGATGCTGGGAGCCTTCTGGGATGTGTGGGCATCGTACCGACACCACTTGAAAATGATCATGAAAACCAGGTATCCAAACAGACTCAGCATAAAAATCATCTCGGGGATGAACTGCAGGATGATGTTGAGGGTTCTCTTGAAGTAACTAGGGGTGGGAAAACACACACAAGACAGAGTGTTAACAGAGCGTTAGAGCTTAAGCTTGAGCACTCTCTCCAGAGGACTGTGCATACCACCTTCTCGAGCACCGCTGGCGAACAGCCCGACTCACCTGGCAAACACAAACGTAGGTGGATAGAAAAGTAATAGAGATAGAGAATAGTATGAGGGGTGCTTTTGCTTGCACAGATTTGTGGAACCTAGGTCTAGAAGGTACTGCCTAGTGATCTGGCCACAGCTTCTCACGAAGACTTCACTCCTGTGTCACATTTGAAGGTCAAATGAAGCAATAACAGACATTTGGAAGTTTTCTCCTACTCACGCACTACGATGGATGTTGCCCATCCACAGTCTGTGGACCAGAAGGAGCCTGGAATTAAGAATGATTCTAGGGGCCTGGAGAGGTGGCTCATTGATTAAAAGTACTTTGTGCTCTCCCAGAGGATCCAAGTTCGATTCCCAGCAGTCAAATCGGGTGGCTCACACTTCAGTTCCGGGGCTCTAACACCATTTTCTGGCAGACACGCGACACACGCAGACACACGCAGACACACGCAGACACACAGACACACAGACACACACACACTCAGTGGTTAAACGCTGTGTCTGGTAGCACAGGTCTGTAATCACAGCCACTCTGAGGGCTGAGGCAGTTCTAATACTGCCAATAAGTTACACAGCAGCCTGCACAACTTAATGAGACTCTGTCTCAAAAACTATAAAGTTAAAAAAAAAAAAAAGGCATCATGGTTCATGCCTATAATCCCAGAACCTTGGGGGGGGGGTGGAAGCAGGAAATCAAGGCCGTCTTTGCATATATACTGAGTTCAAGGTCAGCCTGAGCTACCTAAGACCCTACCTTTAAAGAGAGGAGGGCCGTGGCTGTAGCTCTGTAGCTCAGTAATAGAACACTTACCTAGTGTGGTGGTTTGCATGAGAATGGCCCCCACCTCCCAGGCTCATATATTTGGACACTTAGCCTTGAGTTGGTAAACTGTTTGAGAAGGATTAGAAAGCTTAGGAGGTGCGGCCTTGTCAAAGGAAGTGTGTCATTAGGTGGCTTTGAGGTTTCAAAAGCCCACACCAGACCTCATCTGTCTTGTCTCTCTCTGCCTGAGGATCAGGATGTAAAGCTCCCCACCATGAAAATGGACTGACCCTCTCAAACTATAACACTTAGCCTGTTTCAGGCCCTACGTTCAATTCCTATTACCTTAAGAAAAGAAAAAGAAAAAAGGGAGAGTATTTTATGATTCTGAAATTCCATAAAAGTCAAAAATTCTCTCAAGACAGGGTGCCAAGATAGAGTAATAGAAGGTTCACAGCCTTCTGCTCTAAGACAGAGCCCTAGGAGGCTGAGCGGGGAGCTCTAGGGATGGAGTGCCAGGAGAACTCCCGATACGCGAGGGAGTCAAAGGCCATCATCTGGGAAGTCCTTCCTCAGCACATCCTTAGCCTCTGTTTACAGCATGTCCTGCGGGGCACAATGTCCTTGGGTTTCCAACTAGAACTACTTCTATGGCCTCTCAAGTTAACCTACAACTGGTTCTTGCCAACAAAATGGAGCCAGGAATAGCCCCCTGCCACTTTGGGTAGAAGCTTGAAGACTAACTCTCTACCTTATTCTGTCATGGCATTCGCAGGGGTCTGGGTAGCGTCTGCCCACCCTCTAAGTCCCCTGGGTGAAAGGATGACAGACATGGGACCATGTGGGCCTTGCTGCTATGATCCATGGTCTTAAGGATTGAGGTTGGAGTTGTTCATTTTGCTGTAACCTAATCCATTCTGGTCATGTGTTCCCATTCTCTTTATCACCCTTTCTTGCTCCTTTTTTTTTTTTTTTTTCTTTTAAAGACAGGCTCTCCCAGAGCCCAAGCCCAAGCTGGCCTTGGACTTGCTATGTAGCCAGATCTTGACCTTCTGTGCTTTCTGCCTCCACCCAAGTGTGGGTAATACAGGCATATTACCGCCTGTGTGCAGTTTTGGAGACTAAACCCAGAGCTTTGTGCATGCCAGGCAGACATTCTACCAACTGAGCTACATCCCAAGCCCCCATTCTGTTTTGTTACCATGGTAACAGTCTCAGCAGTGTCAGGCATTGAGGTTATGATCACCTTCGCTAGGAGCTGAAGTTGAGACTCAAATGACTGACTACAAGCTCTCCATCATTTCTGTGCACCCCGAAGCCCCGCTTACTCCTAACCAGAAACAGGATTTCTGCGCACCTGAAGTCACCTGCCATGTTCAACAGGCACACTGAGTGAGTATGTGACGTTACTAGCATCAATAAGTTTAAGAAGCTTTCCAGTGATGGATGTTGATGGAGGAAAGAAACAGGATGCCGACATGAACAGGCGAGAGGAAGGGAGGTGCTACCAGCTGGGAGAAAGGACATCCAGTATGACCCAGGATTGGAAGCGCCTCGACCAAAATTCATACAAGCCCTGTCCCGCCCACTGGGTGGAGAATGAGCTGGCTACTATACCAACCTTTCCTTCCAGGTAGGAGGACACACAGTGCTTAGAGAGCATTCCAGCACCCTCATGAACCCTGACATTTATTCCCAGGTGAAACACACATATTTACTTTAACAGACTCTGTATGGCAGGAACAGAGGTGCCCCTGTTTCTGGCCATCCAGCCTGTCCCAGCTCAAGCCAAGATGCAAAGGAAGCTGCCTATCATAGGAAGGGTTCTGGTGGCCCTGCCTCTTCCTCATTCGATGATCAAGCAGGGGGTGAATCAAGAAACTCACAGGTAGGGTGGAAGATGGTTCATCAGGTAAGAGCTCTTGAGTTCTTGCCAAGGACCCAAATTTGGTTCCTAGAACCCATGCTAGGCAGCTCACAGTTACCAGTAACTCCAGCTCAGAGGGCCCATGAGCCTACACGCATATGCGTGCGTGCACGCACACACACACAGACTCACACAGACTCACACACAGGTACACATAATTAAAAATAAACCTTTTTGTTTCCTCAAGCAGAGACTCACATGTGATTGAAGAGGCTGAGAACAACACCAAAAGTCATCTGAATGATTCCCAGGACGACTGACATCTTCATCTTATAGGAGTTTAAGAATGTGAGTTTGTTTGAAGCCAGGTTCCAAATCTAAACAAGAAACATGACAAGAAAGACATAAGGCAGAACTGCGGGGCCTTTAGGGGTTCAGGCTACAACCCAACCCCCCAAGGATGCTCTTCTGGGGACGACAGCATGCATGGCTCAGTAAAGGGAAAAGACATAACCACAGCCGTGGTGACAAAGTGTTAGAATCTCTGATGCCATCGATCACATCAACAAGAGGTCACCTGTTGCCTCCATCAGGTTGGTCTGTGAGCCATTTTCTTGGTTAGTTGCTGATGTAGAAGGCCCACTGTGGGTGGGTCCATCCCTAGGCAGGTGTTTTCTGGGTTGTATGTGGAAGCAACCTAAGCAAGCTATGAGAAGCAAGCTAGTAAAAATAGCTCCCCTCCACAGCCTCTGATTCAGGTCCTGCCTTAGCTTCCCTGCCTCATAAAGGGCTGTAATCTGTGAGGCTAAATAAGCCCTTTCCTCTCCGAGTTGTTTGTGGTCATGGTGTTAATCCCAACAACGGGAAGCAAACTAAAACATGGCCTGAATTCCATTCCTGAAGCCCACGTAAAAGTAGGAGAAAACCAACAAAGTTGTCTTCTAGCCTCCACATGCACGTGCGCTCTCTCTCTCTCTCTCTCTCTCTCAACCTCTCTCTCTCAATCTTTCTCTCTACTTCTCAAACTCAATCTCTCAATTTCTCTCAATCTCAACATCTCTCAATCTCTGTCTCAATCTCTCTCTCTCTCTCTCTCTCACACACACACACACACACACACACACACACACACACACACGAAAACCAGAAGATACACTTATTTGCCTTGTGCCAAATGGAAAGATATTCTGAAATACTACGGAGTCTCAAACCTGCTTCAGTCCCTTTACTAATGGCCTGCAGAGAGTTAACTGAAGAATGGACAGTTCCTGGATGATCCACAGGGCAAAGCACTTCTCAGAACCTTAAGCCATTTCTAAATCACTTGTCAGAACTACTGTGGATAAATATGATTCTGCCTGCCATACAGTTCTGGTCCTGGCACAACTATCAGTGACATATGTTCCTGTCCAGCCCTAAACAAAGACATAGAGTAGCCACAGGGCTAATCAGGGTGTCACCCTGGCTAAGGGCCTCAATACCAATGTTCCTCATTGTCACAGAAAGTCCACTAACCCTGTGGTCTCCATTCCCATACTAATCCCTTACTCCAACCATTGACCTCACATGAAATCTAAGCACATCCCATAATACCTCTTAAAGGTAACAAACCCACAGAGCCTTCTCAACTTCCACCACAAACAGCTTCCTACCCCAAAATGGCTTTCTTTCTGGGAGGCTGTATCGGTTACTTGTCTGTTGCTGTGATAAGACACCATGACCAAGGCAACTTATAGAAGAGTTTGACCAGTTCCAGAGAGGTAAGGCTCCATCGTGGCAGAGAAGTGTGGTGGAATGAAGGCTGGAGCAGGAACCTAAGAACTCACATCCTCTACCACATAGAGACGTTTTCATCTCAAAGCCCGCCCACCCCCGGGGATGTACTTCCTCCAGCCAGGCTGCAACACCTCCACCTCCACAGCAGCATCACCAAGTACTTAGGACACCAAGTACTCCAATGCCCGAGACTATAGAAGACATGCTCAATCAAACCACAGCAAGGGCCAATATCCAGTTAGGCATAGCCATAATACATAGTCATCTTGTCCATCCCCACTGTATGTCCACATACTCATATGCAGGGGTATACAGACATGTTGTTAGAAGCTACATACGGCTCGGGGCCTCTCTGCAATATTCTGAGCAGCTGTCAACCAGCCACCAGGAGACCAGTAGGATGGAGGGAGAGGGGTGTCTGAACTCTAGAGTCACCGCCTCTACTCATGGCACAGCTACCCAGGCGTCTAAACTATCCAAGACCTGCCCTCTGGCCCACCGTTCTTTGCCCATCAGGTGACCCATGTCTACAGCACTTCTCACTTTAGTGAGGGTAGAGTCTCTAACACATTATAGATCTAGGCAATCAGATAAACTACAAATGCTAATTAAGTACCAGCCCTTTTAGATGTATTTATCTCATTTAATTCCAAAAAAAGACTTCCTAAGATAGACATAAATATTCCAGTTATATAAACTTAAAGAGAATTAATCACAACCTTAGAAAGAATAAGTCACTGATTGTGATGGTTTGAGTAGGAATGGTCCCCACAGACTCACGTGTTTGAATGCTTGGCCTTTGGGGACTGGCACTATTAGGAGGTGTGGCCTTGTTGGAATAGGTGTGGCCTTGTTGGAGAAAGTGTGTACTGTGGGAATAGGCTTTGAGGTCTTACATGCTCAAGCTACACCAATGTGGCACACAGTTCACTTCCTGTTGCCTGTGGATCAGGATGTAGAGCTCTTAGCTACCTCTCAACACCATGTCTGTCTACACGCTGCCATGCTTCCCATCATGAAGATAATGGACTAAACCTCTGAACTGTAAGCCAGCCCCTTTTATAAGAGTTGTCATGGTCACTGTGTCTCTTTACAGCAATAGAAACCCTAAAACACAATGTACCTTGAACCAAGATTTAGATACAGGCCGCCAAATTTCTTAATCACTCTATGGCTCATGGCAGAGCACTTGCCTCCTGTGCACAAGGCACTGGATTCGGTCTTCTTACAAAAAAAAGGAAACTAAAACACTTAAGGCTGTTGCACCATAATGAAGGCCAGATATTTTGTATCCAAATCACAGGAAGATACTCAACACAGTGAATGGACGCACTGAGGAAACGTATGATATGCAATGGTTAAACCCTTCACTGGTCTCTGACTCAAACACTGAGAGGCCCAGAAACATAAGGATCACAGCAGCCAGACCTGAAGCTCTGTATAACACTTTATAGTCTGCGGATCGTCAATAACACATGTATGATTTTTAAGATGAGCAGTTACATTTGTGTATGTGGTGTGGGGGATAGAACCCAGGGCCTCACACACGCAAGTTCTAAATGTTTCCAGTTTGCCGCTTATTTAGGTGCCCCACATCTCTGACCTTGCCATTCTTTTCCTTCTCTTTCAAAATCGTGGTCAGCTGGCAACACGGCTCATGGTCAGAGCACATAGCTGACCTTACGTTATGTCCTCATAACATTACAGAAGTGTACAGCTCGTCCCAGGACATGGAAGCTCAGGCAGAAACCTATAAGGCCTTTTAGAGCTTGCTTCCTGCATCCACATCTGGCTCACAATACCTGCAGCTCCAGATCCAGGGGATTTGATGCCTCTGGCCCTGCTCGGGCACCTGCACTCATCTACACATAACCACACAGACACATCAGACACATCCACAGAACCTTAAAAATTAAAATCTTCAGAAAATATTAGTGACTTGTTTGCCTTTTACACTTTGCAGTTTACAAACTGGCTTTCAAGGATCGTACCTGTTGTGATTAAAAACTTAGACAGAAATTGAACTGGGCAGCAGGTCTGAAAATTCCCGTGCAATGCTTTCCGCTTTTATTGGTGAGAAGGAACTGATGGGAAGAACCCAGGAAAACTGGAGATGACTGCATACGGGAAACCAACCGAGAGGGAGGCTACTGAGGAGCCACTGTCAGACCCATGAAGTTTACTTCAGTTACTGAAGCTCAAACTGGCCACTCAGACTCTGCCCCACACAGAACTGAGAAAAACATTTACCAAGCTCCTCCACAGGAGGTTCGGTTGACTGGGAGCACAACATTGCCACCTGCTGGCAGCATGCACGGACTTTCTATGAATGAATGTGTGTATCCATTCACAACTCAGCTTTTTTTTTTTTTCCCCCTCTACTCAGAGATCACACGGTCTAAAGGCTTTGGGAGATGCCACATCTCAGTTGACTGTGAGATATAACAAACAAATCAGCAGAATGCAACATGTCTTTCAAGTCCTCAGGAGCCTGGGGAGAAATCTCAGTCTGTGAAGTGTTTTTGTACAAGCCTGAGAATCCTGGTTCGGTCCCAGAACGCATGTGAAAATGTGTGGTCGTGTGTGCCTTTAATCCCAGCGCTGGGGAGGTGAAGACAGAAGGAACCCGGACACTCCCTGGCCAGCCAGCCTAGCTCATTGGAAAGCCTCGGGTCTCAGTGAGAAAGCTGGTCTCAAAACACAAGGCACCTTGAAGGGGACACCCAAGGTTGACCTCTGGCCTACAGAAAAAGTCATACTAAACAGCACAAAAGATGTCACCCACTGGGGGGGGGGGAGGCTAGGGGACTAGATTAGGATATTAAGTAACTCATTTACTGTGCATACTTTAGGCAACCAAAGTGGCAGCACATGCATGACTTCAGGAACTGTCCACCAGCCTTTCTTTTCCCCTTTTTGAGGCAGGGTCTCTCAGTGGCCAAGCAGGCGAGGGTGGGTGGCTAGTGAGTGAGCCCTAGGGATCCACCTGTCTCCACCTCCTGATGGTTGGGATTCCAAGCGCATACTACCATGCCTAGGTGTGTTTGTCTTGTTGTTTGAGACAGGGTCTCTCCGTGCAGACCAGGCTGGCCTCAAACTCATAGAAACACCCCACTCTGGCCCCGAGTGTTGGCATTAAAGCTGTGCACCAACACGCCCAGCCCATATTTGGCTTTGGAGACCAGACATGGGTCCTCACACTCGTAAGACCAAGCACGTGGGTAGCTGAGCCTCCCCTCCAGGCTGCAAGGGCCTTTTCAAAGCTGTCGCTGGCCAGCAGTGGGACAGCTTCAGCAGAGAAAATGGGCAGGAGGCAGTCCAGGGTGCAGCGGAGTTCAGCAGCTGGACCGGCCCTGCCCGTCCCGCCAGCCCCTGAATCATCCCATCTCACTCGAGGTCTGCTGTTCCACCATCTCTACTCAGAGATCCCGGAGGACGCTCTTACCGGATCGATCCCAAATGGGTAGGGATTTCCAGAATACACTCCTGGGATGGCTGGGTCCAGCTGCAGATATGGACTCTTTTCCACGATGTGAGCACTACAAGAACAAAGTGAGGAGACAAAAGTTATGTAACAATCATCAGTATCATCAGTATCATCAGCTGTGAGCTTCTGGCCAACCAAAGCCCTGAGGCTGACATGGTGGCAGTTTTGTTTACTCAACTCCGTGTTTGGTCACTGAATTGCTACCATGTGTCAGGTACTGCCCTGAGCCCTGAGGTTTCCCAAGTTACTCTCTGGACCACACAGGTTAACAGCCCGAGTTCCCAAAGAGCCCTAGCCCTGACTGGAGTGCAGTCAGAAAAACTGCAAACTAAAATACCAGCCAAGTGGGGACAGGGCTGAGGGGAATGGACAGAGGAGGAGGAAGGTTAGAGAGGGGCCGAGTCATGAGACACCTGGGCCAGTCCTGAGGGTGGTCCTGAAGGCCAGATGGACATTTTACACATAGGCCTTGATCTCTGTAAAACTCAATTCCCCCCCCCAAAAGGGGGGGATTAAAAACTTGGTCTGGCTATCCAGTGAGCATCATGGATGTGTCAGCCTTAGCGTCCCGTCCCTCCGTGCCTAGCTTACAAATATGTGCCGCCCTGCCCAGCTTCTAAGTAGATGCTGGGGATCTGGATTTGGGTCCCCTTGTTGGGACGGCAAGCACTTTTACCAGGTAAAAATGTTCCCAGCCCTATTTTATTTTACTGGCCAGAAAATATGTGTTTGAACTAAAGAACAGAACACAAACCACTGTGGTCAGATGCCCAGAAAAGCGTTCTCCCTGCACTGCACCGCTGGGCCATGGCCTCGGGGAGTGGCTTGGGACACCAGGAAGCCTACTTGGGCCACTAGTGTGCTGCCTTCCTTATTGGGCCATACAGCCAACCCCACTGACCATAGGAAGTCTCCAGAAAAACACCATCAAATGCCGGAGGAAGCAGGCCCAGGGCCCAGACTCTCCCTGGGAAACAAACTCAGCCTGAGGGTACTTCCCCTCTGTGATGACGGACCACAACTTCCCCACCTCACCAGAACACGGTTCTGCTTTAAGCTATCTGAACACTCAACACTGGGGCATGCTGGGCACTGTGCACCTGCCTCCAGGGAGAGCCTGCAGCTGGAAAGGCCATGTACAGGTGCATTAAGGCACATTAAAGACATGTACATGTCCCCACGTCTGCAGAGCGACAAGCCCACTCACTCTACAGGGGGAACGAAATGTCATGTAGTTTTGGGAAAGCATGCTGCTTTGATACAATTGAAACTAAGTTCTAGGCGTCTCTGCAGATGCCCATCATTATAAGGGGCAGCCATGCTGCAGTTTCTGTCTTAGCCCTCCCTCCCCTTCATTACTCTATCACCGCCATGTTCTGCCCCCAGGAACTCGGGCCTTCCAGAAAAGCCAAATGAGATCTGTCAGAACCTCCACATTCCAGCTAAAATCTGTCACCACCCGGCTGGGGATGAAGTCAGAGTGGTCCACTTTCTTGTACCAGGACCGGATTTGCAGTCCTCTCACTAAAAAACAAAACACCTTCCGTCTCCTCCAGAAAGCTCATTTAAGCCTTCCAGCAATGCCAGCAAATGAAGCGCCCTGAAGAAAGGTCCCTCACGCTGTCTTCCCATGAGACGGCTTGCTTTTCTCTGTCTCTCTGTCCGTCTGTCTCTCTGTCCGTCTCTCTGTCTCTCTGTCCGTCTCTCTGTCTCTCTGTCCGTCTCTCTGTCTCTCTGTCCGTCTCTCTGTCTCTCTGTCCGTCTCTCTGTCTCTCTGTCCGTCTCTCTGTCTCTCTGTCCGTCTGTCTGTCTCTCTGTCCGTCTCTCTGTCTCTCTGTCCGTCTCTCTGTCTCTCTGTCCGTCTCTCTGTCTCTCTGTCCGTCTCTCTGTCTCTCTGTCCGTCTCTCTGTCTCTCTGTCCGTCTCTCTGTCTCTCTGTCTGTCTGTCTCTCTGTCTGTCTGTCTCTCTGTCTGTCTCTGTCTCTCTCAAGTCCTCTACAGACTTGAGTGGACAGATAAAACCCTTGGATTTCCTTAAACAGAAGTGTCATAGACTGGGCACAGTGAGGCACGAGCAGATGGAGCTCTAAAAGTTCAGGGCCAGGGCTATGTAGTGAGAGCTTGTCTCAAAAAAAAAAAAAAAAAAAAAAAAAAAGGAGGGAGAGAGGGAGGGAGGGAATAGTACTTCCATGACAGGAAGAGGAAGAGGAGGAGAGTCAGGACTGGAAATGAGGCTGTAACTACACTGTTTCTGTCTTTCTCAAACTCTGAACCCCTCCCTCCCTCCCCCCCACACTCACACCCCTGAAATGTTGCCCTTCCAGTCTGATTAGCAGCTGAAACAGCTGGAGACAGTACATGGGAGATGTGGCTGTGGCACTAGAGAGCTTCAGGCTGTCTTCCATCCAACTAGCTGTGTGTCCGTCCGTCCATCCCCGTCCCCCCCCCCCCCGCCCCGCCCCGACCCCGTCAGCCACAAGCAAATGCGGGAAGCTGCCCGTGCAAGCTCTCAACCTCCTCTTTGCTCTTAATTGAACTCCGGCTTTCTGAGCAGCCTAAGAAAACATCCCTCTGCAGGGTATGGGGCCTGGAACACCAGAAGTGAGGATCTCCATAGACATCATCTGTGCCAGCCCCTTATAAGGAAAGGCTTGACCCAACTCCCATCTGATTGGTGACTTCAGTCTCCCGCCATCCCCACACAAGGACAAAGTGCACTGCCAACCTCACCCTCTTCTGGGAAGCTGTCTCTCTGCAATACAATAACCAGGTGAGTGGCTGGCAAAGTGGTACAGAATCCTGCACACAACATAAAACTGCATTATTGGGGCTGGACAGCTGGCTTGACAGTTAAGAGCATTTGCTGCTCTTGCAAAGGACCCAAGTTCAATTCCCAGCAACCAAACAAAGCTCAGAAAAACTAACTACAGCTCCAAGGGAGCCAATGTCCTCTTCTGACCTCTGCTATTCACAGATGGTACACATACATACATGTAGGTAAAACATGTATGCATGTAAAGCACTAATAAATCTTTTTAAAAACTGCAGTACTGGGTGAGATTTCAGGGGGATCTGTGATCAGAGCCTGGTGTAAACTCTCCCAGCTGTAGGAGTAGTCACTGAGGTCTTTGGATAGCCAACAAGCAAGCCCTGGCAGTCTATGAACTTACTTCCATGTGCCATTTCTGAACATAGGCTGGACGCTCCAAGAGGACCCAAAGATGTTAAAAGATTTGGAGAAGCAGTCATTGTAGATCAAGCCGGTGTAGATGGAGAAGATGCCCATGAGTAGGATCAGATAACGCCCATTGAAGAAGGTGTTCCAGATCTGGCCCAGGAAAACAAAGGGTGAGTTGAGTGTCAGTGAAGAGATGTAGGAGGAGAGAGTGACATCTCCAGCATCAGTAGTGCGTGGAGAGATAGCATGATCTTGCAGACATCATATTCCCCCATGTCGGGGTGGTCCTGAGCTTATATAGGTCAGTCAGAGAATCCCTCCACTGTGCAAGCAAATCTGTAAGCCTTATGTTCTTTCAATAATGGACTGCTGTGCATGCAGAGGCCTTGTCTGCTAAGAAAGGGACTGGAAACCGGCTGTAGTCTCCTGTACCTCCCTCCCTCCGGGAGAGAAGCCTGAGCTGACCTCTGTCCCACTGTCCCAGGTCAGATCTGATTCACTAGGAGCTTTGTCTTCAGAGCTAGGCTTCTGTCTGCCACATCTCCTAGAGGAAAGCAGTTTCCAGGGATGCTGGATATGGGTACCACTCATTCTAAAGATGCTAGATTTGGGTATCATTCACTCCAAGGGTGTTGTTCACCCTAAGAACTGCTGACGTGTCCCTTTGCAACTTTAAATGTCTTCCATAGAAAATGACACCTGTTAAAAGCTTGCCATGGAAGACTGAATTGGTCACAAGACTGACCTTGCTTATGATTAACTCACAATGATGTCATGGTACTCGCTCTACCAATCCAGCCTGTGCCAAAGGACTACAGCCATCTTACAGTCTGGAACATGGCTAAAGGCATGTTTCCACTCTGTCGAGTGTATTACCATGAGCCTATCTGCCATTAACTGACTGGCAGACAAACTCCAACCTGCACAGGTTCCCATGGGCTTCTTTCTACCTTCAAAAAGTCCAAGGGGACTGTGCCAATGGCAGAGAGACTCCAAGTGAAGCATGAGCCCCCAATATCCAGGAACCCTTGGGGTTTCTTAAAAAAAAAAAAAAAAAAAAAAAAAAAAAAAGAGCCTGCCATAAACAAAGATTCATGGTATTTTAAGATAGGTTTTAAAGGAGGCTACAAATGATGTGTACTTCTTGATGGCAATTTTTGAAAAGTAATATCTGTAGATAAGCACAAACACACAAAATGGAATTATATTCAAAAGCATTCGTCATCATCTTTCTCTAGGTAGCTGGACTATCGTCCAAACTAAGTTCTACAATTAATAGGTTTTATTTTTATAATCAGAGTAAAGAAGGTTTTTTTAAAAATTAAGAGAAGGCTAAGTTTAATTCCAGCACTCCAGAGGCAGAAGCAAGCAGATCTCTTGTGAGTTTGAGACCCAGTTGACTTTAATAGTGAGATTCTGTCTCAAAATTAAAATTAATAATAATAATAATAATAATAATAATAATAATAATAATAATAACGGGGGATTGAGGTATAGTGGTGGTAGAACCCTTGCTTAGCACACACAAGTTCCTGGGCTTCTTTCTCAATACCTCCAAACAACAAAAACCAGTGCTTTGAGCTTGCCCAGCACGCATAATCTCCTGTGCAACACAGACCTGGCAAACAGTGCATGCCTGTAATCCAAGCTTCCAGAGGTAGAGACGGGAGGCTCAGAAATGAAAGGTTAACCTTGGCTACAAAGTGAGTTTGAAACCAGGCTGGGATACATGAGGCTATCTTAAAAAAAAAAAAGTTAGCCAAAGCCAAAACCCAATGTCTTGTTTTGCCACAGACAAAATGCCAACAGAGCTGATAAACTTACTGCAGCAAGCCGCCTTCTTCAAAAGCTTTATGTTGAATTAGGCTACTGATTTTTTTGAAACAAGGTTTCTCTATGTAGCCCTGGCTGTCCTGGGCTATGGAGACCAGACTGGCCTTGAACTCAGAGATCCACCTGCCTCTGCCTCCAGAGTGCTGGGACTAAAATCAAAGACTTTGTATCTTTTCCTTGTTTTTCACAAAACCATGTTATTCTTTATGGTGACAATCACGCATTTTTAAAAGGTTCTTATGTTTAGGCCACATGTGTTCAGATGTCTAAGGAGGTCAGAAGAGGGAGTTGGGTCCCCTGGAGCTAGAGTCACAGGTGGTTGTGAGTTTTTTTGCTTTTGTTTTTTGTTTAAGACAAGGTCTCGCTGCTCCCTGGAACTCACTATGCAGGCCAGACTGGCCGCGAACTCACGGAGATCTTCCTGTCTCTTCCTCCCAAATGTTAGAATGAAAGGCGCTAGCCAGCACCACAAACGCCTCACATGCACATCTTAGCGTTTCCCCTCTAGGAACACTGGCTGACCACCCACCTCATTGGTACTCTTCTGAGCCAGCAAATGCTTCTCATTCACGACCATCCACAGGGCTGCCATCAGCATCACCATTCCGTGGCCACAGTCTCCAAACATCACAGCAAACAGGAAGGGGAAGGTGATGATAGTGTAGGGAGCTGTAGGGGTGACATTCACATCTGAGGCCCCTGAGTGGGTCCCCATCCCCCCAACCAAGATCAGTCAGGAGAGGCCCCTCCAGCAGCTGGCAGGTTCCCACAAGCCTTCCGGATTATCTTTCCCAACACCTCCACACAATGCAATGCAATACTGACATGGTTCCCACGTGCCCGAGCTACCCCCAAGAGCAGATTCTATCTCACTTTATGCCAGGATTGGAGTCGGGAGTCTTATACAGGTGACTCAAGCTTCAAGCTTCCCACGGTCACTAATGCAGATGGCATTTGTAATGGTTGATTTTGACTGCTTGCTGGACTGGATCGGTGAAGTACCTCTGGGTGTTTCTTCTGTGAAGGCATTCCCAGAAAGGATGAGATCCTGAGAGCTCTGGCCTAACCACCGAATGAGTCCTCTGATGGATTCATACGCTGGTGGCGTTGGGAAGGGGTGAAAAGGGATGGGTAACTGGAAGGCTGTGGTCTGGGGCATCTGCAGGGGACAATCCCTGAGCTGGCCTTCAGCATCGGCTCTCCCATCATAGACTGGATCCGCATTCGTTTGAGGAAGTAGGTCACTGGTTGGGACTTGTGCTAGCTAGAGTTTTGGCAACTTGACACTAGACTCACTCTGGGAAGAAAAAGCCTCCATCAGATTGGCTATCAGGCCAAGTCTGCAGGGCATTTTCTCCTTTTTTTCTCCCTAGGATTTTTACATTATTATTTAATATATTTTCTTATTTTACCTCTCCCTCCCACCCTTCCATGCTCCCCACTGACCCCCCCCATCCACTCCCCAGGGAGGGCGAGGCCTTCCATGAGAGATCATCAAAATCTGTTAAGTCATTTGAAGTAGGGCCTAGACCCGCCCCGATGTCTCTAGGCTAAGGGAGTATCCCTCCATGAGGAATGTGCACTGGGGATACATCCTGGTTCCACTGCCAGAGGCCCCATAGACTGCCCAGTCCTCCTGGCTGACACCCACATTCAAGGGCCCTGGTTTGGTCCCAAGCTGGTTCCCCAGCTGTCAGACTGGGGTCCATGAGCTCCCGCTTGTCAGGTCAGCAGTTTCTGTGAGTTTTCCCAGCATGGTCTTGACCCCTTTACTTATCACTCCTCCCTGTCTGAAACTGGATTCTAGGAGTTTGGCTCAGTGCTTAGCTGTGGGTGTCTGCTTCTGCTTCCATCAGCTACTAGATGAAGGCTCTAGGATGGCATATAAGGTAGTCATCATTTTTATTATCGGGGAAGGGCATTTCAGGTAGCCTCTCCACCACTATTGCTCAGATTCCTAGTTGGGGTCATCCTTGTAGATCTCTGGACATTTCCCCAGTGCCAGATTTCTCTTTAACCCTGTAACGGCTCCCTCTAGTGGTGTGTCTCTTTTCTTGCTCTCCTCTAATCATCTCCCCACTCCACTCAGTCTTCCTGATCCCTCATGTTCTCCTCCCCCTCCTCCCCCTCCTCTTCCTCCTACTTTCTTCCTCTCTCCTCCCCGCCCCCATGCTCCCAATTTGTTCAGGGCCTCTTGTCCCTTTCCCCTTCACTGGGGGACCATGTATGTCTCTTGTTTCCTAGCTTCTTTGGAGGTATGGATTGTATTCTGGTAAATCTTTGCTGTATGTCTGTATGTGAGTGAGTGCATACCATGTTTGTCTTTCTGGGCCTGGGTTACCTCCATTTGCCTTCGAATTTCAAGATTCCATTGTTTTTTTTTTTTTTCCTGCTGAATAGTACTCTACTGTGTACATGCACCACATTTTCTGTATCCATTATTTGGTTGAGGGCCATCTAGGTTGATTCCAGGTTCTGGCTATTTTTGGTTGTGAGCCTAGCCTTTAACGGCTGAGCCATCTCTCCAGCCCCAGGGTTCTGGCTATTACAAATAATGCTGCTATGAACATAGTTGAACAGATGTCCTTATATGAATGTGCATCTTTTGGGTATATACCTAAGAGTGGCATTGCTGGATCTTGAGGTAGACCAATTCCCATTTTCCTGAGGAGCTGCCATACTGATCTTCAACATGGCTATACAAGTTTGCACTCCCACCAGCAGTGGAGGAGTGTTCCCCTTTCTCCACATCCTCTTCAGCATAAGTCATCATTAGTGTTTCTAATTTTAGCCATTCTGACAGGAGTAAGATGGTATCTCAGAGTTGTTTTGATTTGCATTTCCCTGATAGCTAAGGATGTTGAGCATTTTCTTAAGTGTCTTTCAGCCATTTTAGATTCCTCTATTGAAATTTCTGTTTAGTTCTGTACCCCAATTTTTAATTAAATTATTTGGTGTTTTGCTGACTAGCTTATTGAGTTCTTTATATATTTTGGAGATCAGGCCTCTGTCAGATATGGGGTTGGTGAAGATGTTTTCCCAGTCTGTGGGCTGCTATTTGGTCTTGTCGACTGTGTCCTTTGCCTTACAGAAGCTTCTCAGTTTCAGGAGGTCCCATTTATTAATTGTAGGTCTCAATGTCTGTGCTTCTAGTGTTTTGTTCAGGAAGCAGCCTCCTGTACCAATTCCTTCAAGGGTACCTCCCACTTTCTTTTCCAAGAGGTTCAGTGTGGCTGGATTTATGTTGAGGTCTTTGATCCATTTGGACTTAAGTTTTGTGCATGGAGATAGATATGGATCTATCTGCAGTCTTCTACACACCAGTATCCTGTTATGCCAGCACTATTTGAAGATACTTTTAACTTCTTTGCCAAAAATCAGGTGTTTGTAGGTGTATGGGTTAATATCAGGGTCTTTGATTCTATTCCATTGGTCTACCTGTCTGTTTTTGTGACAATACCAAGCTGTTTATTACTATAGCTCTATAGTAGAGCTTGAAGTTAGAGATGGTGATGCCCCCGGAAGTCTCTTTATTGGACAGAACTGTTTTGGCTATCCTGGGACTTTTGTTTTCCCATATAAAGTTGAGTATTGTCCTTTCAAGGTCTGTGAAGAATTGTGCTGGGATTTTGATGGGGATTGCATTGACAGGGATTGCCATTTTTACTATGTTGATCCTACCTACGGCAGATCTTTCCATTTTCTGGTATCTTCTTCAATTTCTTTCTTTAAAGACTCAAAGTTCTTGTTATACAGGTCTTTCACTTGAGAAGGCCCTGACCACCGGTATCACCCTGATGTATAAGAAAGTAAGCTGAACAAGCCATGAGGGGCAAGGCAGTAAGGAGCCTCTGCTTCAATTCCTGCTTCAATCCCTTCATGATGAGCTACAACCATAAACTGAAATCAATCCTTTCTTCCCAAGGTGGCTTTCCGTCACAGTGTTTATCACAGCCATAAAAAAATCAAACTAAGGTAAGACTCCTACTGTGCCCCTGATCCCTTCCCATGCTACCCTTTCCCAGCATGCTTCTACAGCCATGATGCTCTGCCCAAGGACCAAGCAACCTTGGACTGAGCACTCTAAAGCCGTGAGCCAAGATAAATCTTCCTCCCTGTGGGGGTCTGAAGGACTAACGTCCCCCACAGGCTCACATTTTTGAGCATTGGGTCACCCGTTGGCGGTACTATTTTTTTGGGAAGATTATAGAAGGATGGGAGGAGTATTGTCACCGGGGCATGGGCATTAGATTATATAGCCTTGCCCCAATTCCTGGTCTCTTTCTGTTTCCTGTGTGCAGGTGAAATGTGGTTCCCCCAAGCTTCCTGTTCCTACTGCCATGCCTACTCTGCCTGCTGCCATGCATGATACACTCTTCCTCTGGAACCATGGACTGAAATAAACTCTTGCTTCCCTAAGTTTCCTTTGGTCAGGGCATTTATGACAGCAATGGGAAGTACTCATAGAATCCCACCTCCCCAAAGCTGCTCATGGAGGTTTTTAGCCAGTGTTGGGAAAGTGGCTAAGCACAGGACCGTGTCTGACTGCTATGCCCTTTTCAATACCATATTTGCTCTGTCTCCCACACAGGCACAGCACCAGCTGTTACTCACAGACATCATGACCAGCCGAAGCCCCGAATTACTGGTCAAGTTAGAGAAGACTCAGGCTGCAGAACTGCTATGGAACATCTGGTCTACCCCTGTTTTACCAACCAGGCCATCATGGCCACACAGGACAAGGCAGGATCTAGTCTTCTGATCCCCAGAGTCCTGTGCATCCTTGTCTTTCTCACACAGTAACTTCAGGATCGTAAAGACGCTAAGGGCCTTGGCTGACTTGGAGAAGAAAATGAAAGCTAGGGTTGGCTGCCATTTAAGAGTCAGATGTGGTTATCACACAGTGATTTGTACACTCAGTGCTCAGGGGACAGAAAAACGGGGATCATGAGTTCAAGGCTGCCAATGGGAACCTGACACTAAACAAAAACATACTCAATGAAGGGTGAGAACAAAAAAGTGCATCTTCTGTGAATGAGCATTTACAACGAGAACACAGCATCAGGAAACCAAATGAGGTCACAGAATGCCATGGTGCAATTCGACTCACCTCCCGAATACTGAAAGGCACACCTAGTAATTTTCAGTTTTGTGCTACCTCATTGTGTGACATCAGAGCCTTACCTGGGTTCATCTCTCTGTAGCTACCCACACCATATGCATCGACAATGTTCTGGAAGCCAGCTGTGAATTTATTAGTCCTGTTGAAGGTGGGAGGGTCTGACTTAGTTTCCACTTCTGTCATGATGGGGACCATGGAGGAGCCACTGAGTTCCTGCAGAGAGAGCAGGTGACTGATTTGTGTGCATGACAGCTCAGTGCTGGCCCACAGGTCTGGACATGAACTCGGGACATCTCTTGACCTCCCTGAGACCCATGACCCCATCTCTGAAAGGCACATGTGTCTCAATACTTACCGACTATCTCTTACATGAGTGTATCAAAGGGCAGAGACTGACCTGGTTCTCTGGCCGTCCTCCACCCCCACCACACACACACACACACACACACACTCACCACAGACACACCACACACACACACACTCTCACACAGAGACACTCACACACACACTCACCACAGACACTCACACTCACCACAGACACACATACCACACACTCATACACACACACCACACATGCTCACACCACACACACACTACACACTTGCTCACACACCACACACACACACTTACACACTCACAACCACACACATTACACATACATGCTCACACTCACCCACCACACTCACACACACACTCCTCCAGTACACACTCACACACACACACACACACACACACACCTCTAGGCTCTCTATTCTTCCTCCTCTCTTCAGAGCTCAGCCATGTTGCTAACTCATCCTCATCTTTCAAGCAGCACCAACCCTGTCCCACATCTCTTGTGCAACTGCTGGATAGGTTTCCCTGACTCAGCAGCTCTAGAACCCCCACTCCTACAGCAGAATCCCCAACTTGCCGCTGCCAGGTCCTCCTGCCCTCTGCCTCTTCCCAGAGCCTCCATTCCAGCTCAAAACTTTTCCCTCCTGAACCCTAGCCAGGCCTCACCACCTTCCCCAGCCGAGATCCCTTCTGTTAACCCACCCACCCTGCTCAGTCATGTCTAGACTAAAACAAACCAAAGGGCTTGTTCTTCAAAGACTTCGCACAGTCTAAAGAGTGAAGTCAAACACGTTAGTGTCACTAACGGCTTCCTTACGAGGTTGACTTAACCCTCCGTCGACACCTTCACAACTTACTCCTCATGGAGACCAAGACCACAAAAGCCACCTCCTCCATTTGCCCAAGCCCTCAGTGACCGGCAGAGGTGCCCTCAGTGGGCTCTACCAACTAAAGGCATCGTTAGAGTTAGTCTCAGTTCACCTGAGGCAGACCTCAAGACAAACCCCAGTTTAGACATGAGGAAGCAGACACAGCAGGGCTAAGAAACTGTTCCAGGTCAGAAAGCAAGTGGAGGAGTTCCCACTGTATTGTTAAGGGGAACAGGAACCCCATCCTTAGCAGCAATGTCCAAAGCCGCCTCTCCTTCCTGTCCGCACCCCATGGCATCTGACACATGGCCAGCAGGACGCAGGGGAAGGACCGCGGATGATGGCGACAGTACCCAACGCCTGGTCTATCTTCACACTTCCTTCTGCCTCCCTCTCCTGTCTGGGGAAGCACCTGTGACAGACATTCCAGGGAGTTGAAAAAACTGCTCTAGCCAGCCGTGTAGGAAGCCTGGCCCAGGAAGACATGAAGACAGGGAGGGTCTCCTGTATCCCAGGGCTGTCCTTGAAATACTATTCCTCAAGGGTGACCTTGAACTTCAGATCCTTCTGTTTCTGCTTCTCGAGTATGGGGGGATATAAGCGTGTCCCCCACACTGTGCTGTATCGTCAGTCCAATTCCTTCCCCAGTGGTGTGGCACGACCTCCCTATGGCCCGGCTCTCCCCGTCTGCAGTGAAAATGCTTCTGAAGCACAGGCAGGACAGGGCCACTCTGGCATAGAATAAAATTGTGCCCCTCACTGCTAAACTGGCTCAGGAGGGAAGGATGTCTGCCACCTGAGTGCAATTCCTGGACTGAACATGGTGGCAGGAGAGAATCCACTCAGACAAGTTGTTCTCAATCTCCACACGCACGCTCACGCACACACACCACACCACATACACACACCACACCACACACACCACACCATACCACACACACCACACACACACACACACACACACACACACACACACACACACACACACACACACACACACACACACACACACACACACCACACACACACACACCACACACACACACACCACACACACACACACCACACCACACACACCACACACACACACACACACACACCACACACACACACACACACACACCACACACACACACCACACACACACACACCACACCACACACACCACACCACACACACACACCACACACACACACCACACACACACACCACACCACACCACACACACACACACACACACCACACACACACCACACACACACACCACACACACACACACCACACCACACACACACACACACCACACACACACACACACACCACACCACACACACCACACCACACACACCACACACACACACACACACACACCACACCACACACACACCCCACACACATACACCACACCACACACACACAGAGTTAAATACAATAAATGTTTTATTCCTCCTCTTACACTGTTCTGAGGACCTCAGGATCTTTCCCAATCCATCTTACACCTGCCCTACCCACTTCTCCCTACTCCTACCCTGCCCCCGCCCTGCCCCTTCCCTGCTCACTGAGCACTCTGCTTCTCGACGCCTCCAGAAAACACCCCTGCTCGGCCCATCTGAGCAAAATGCATAATTTTAAAGATGCCCCTTCTGTGAGCTTGGGAAAGCTTGAGTGACAAAAACCCCCTCTGCACTGACGTCCTGGGCCTCCGATTTACCATGTCCTCTGTGCCTAGGGTTCCCTCCTCGGGAATGTGGGCAGCTCCCACCTCCTTGGCCATTTTCACTACACGCTCTGCCTTCAGACCCTTAGAGCTCTACCTCACAGTCCCCAGGGCCCTGGACAGCATCTGCTCTGATTGCCACCTGCTCAGGGGCTTGCCTGGCAACAGCTGCCAGAGTCCCCTCCTCTTACCAGATGGGCCACCTGCCTAGCAGGAAGTCTTCCCAGCTAGACCCCTACCGGTCAGACCACCTTCCCTCCACCCAGTGGGGTCACCACCCTGAAAGTCCAAGCAAGTGCATAACTCCCCAGCAGGAACCAGTCACCCCGCCCTCTCGCCACCACAGAGCCCATTCCCATTTTTTGTGGTTCACTCTGGCCTACACGGCTTTGCCTGGGATGAGGCATCTCCCTGCCCGGGCTTAGATGGCACTGTGACTTTTCTTGCCTCTCCAGAACCAAACGTCAGCTCCCGGCACTCTGTGGGCTGGGGCTCACTCTTTCATCAGAGAGGTCAGACCAGCTCCTCTCCCATGATGCCCCTCATTCCCCTCACCCACCACTGACAGCAGCCAGCCAGCACAGGCTCAGGGGCATGTGCGGCTCCTCTATCCTTCTAGAAAGTCTACTGGGGCAGGGCCGCATCCACCCAGGGACTCTGAATCAACTGTGCCCAGTGAAAGTGTGGCAGATGAGCGAGGAGGTAACTAAACACTGCATACACTTGGGGCTGCAGCTGGCATGCTGAACCACGTGTGCTTTGAGCCCCTGGTACAAGGGCTTGGGTGTTTTGTCTCTCTAGCTAGCCTGTGCCGCTGTAAGGTGACAGGCGGCACCTAAGACAGGGATAGGGTATGGTTGGGAAAGGCATGGTTTTAGATGGGATATAGGTAGATTAGCCTATCTTTCTTGTAAATTATTTTAATGATCGTGAGATATTAGTATTATATAGCTTACATTGTTATAGATTCTAATATGGTAACCTATGTAAAGTTTATATTCCCTCCCCGGAAAAGCTGTATATTATATTCTGTAGTAGTGTGTAAAAGCCTTCCGTTTATGACGTGTGAAAACTATCACTGCAGCTGGTGGAATGTAGCTCATGAGCGCTCAAATGTCCCCACTGAAGATGAGTATCACAAAGAAATAGTGACAGTTTTTCAATTGCTGAAGGAACAAGAGAAGGCAGTTTCTCTTCTGTGCCTTAGGACCTAGTTAAGAATCAAAGGTACAAGGACGGGGACATAGTCTAATACCTGCCTAGCACGCTGTGAGTTCTGGGTTCAGCCCCCAGCACTGGATAAATCAGGTGTAGTGATGCATGCCTGGAGTCAGAAGTTCAAGGTCAGCCAGGTAGTGGTGGCACACACTTTAAACCCCAGCTCTCTGGACACAAAGGCAGGAGGATCTCTATGAGTTCAAGGCTGGCCTGATCTACAGAGTGAGTTCCAAGACAGCCAGGACCACACAGAGAAACCCTGTCTCAAAAAATAAAGTTTAAGTTCATCTTCCGTTACATAGAGTTTGAGGCTAAGTATGTGAAACACAGACTCACTTTTTTAGTGCGCTCAGTTCACAACCCCAAGCAAGATGAACAGGCTGGGGAGGCCGGATGTGCTTTGCCTCCCATCCCCAGCCGCCCCAGCCACCCCAGCCGCTCACCATGCCTTGCTCCAGGGCCTTCTTGATGTTTCTGGTGTCTGCCACGGGGAACCAGATCTCGGCGATGATGCACTGCTGAGTGACATCGATATTGCACATGTTCAGGACGTGGTAGACCGCCTTCATCTTCTGCACTTTGATGACCCAGGAGTGCCAGCTGGTGGCTGCTTCCTGCAGTAGGCGCTGTCGGTGAGACTCTGTCTGGGTAATGACCTGGGCAAAAAACAAAAGCAGAGAAAACGATGAGCATTCATGGGGGTACTTGACTCGATGGCAAAAATGGGGGATCATCTGCCACAGTGGCTTCCCTGCCCTGGAAAGAACCCAAGGTTAGACCCTATGAACACAGACCTTTCTCCTCATGGTGCTTATAAAATTTAGTTGATAGAATTACAGTCCCTGTTTTGACAAATAAAATGGGGTCATCTTTTCCAGTCACCTTTCATATGGCTATTGTAGCTGTTATAAAAGACAGATCATGAACGTAAGAGCTGTAAAATCAACAGGCCTGCACAAGTGTCTTGAGTGTCTAATGCGACCCGGCCTGAGGTGCGTAAGATCACCTTGACACGGATATACGTTCATTAACCTTACAACAAAGCTCACAAGAACTCAGTGCACTCCTCACAAGCCATCTCACACACACACACACACACACACACACACACACACACACACACACGATTAAAAAAAGGTCCTGCTCACAGGCGGGATTGAATCCTAGAATCCCAGTATATAGGAATTGAGGGTGGATTCAGCCATTGGAGCCCATGCCTATGCAAGCCTGTTTCTTGCCTTACACACCGCCAGAAGGAGCTGCCAGACACTGGAGGGAGCCTCAGATTCATCCTTGGCCATGAGGGAACAGAAGGGGGAAGTGGGTCTGTCAGTCTGTCAGGGTCTGTCAGTCTGTCAGAACTTCCCCAGATCCCTGAACACAGCTGCCCAAGTCACACTGCACTACACGCACTGCATCCCCGAGGGCCACATCACACAGCATTTGCATAAAGAGGGATCACCCTAAGGAAAGAGCTGCTGTGACAGTGGCTAGCATGGAATAGAGACATTCTGGGGCAGTAAAGGTGTCTGCTAGCCAAAGGCTTTTTAAACACACACGGCCGATGTTGTGGCGTACACCTGTAACTCCAGCACTTAGGAGTTGACATGAGTTCAAGACAAGCCTGGATTGTGTAAAAACAGCAACCTACCTAGGGCTACGCAGCAAGACCAAGTCTCAAAAATGAATAAATAAAACCTACTTTCTAAACCTATACACCGAAGATTTAAGTTGTACTAGCCTATCCAGGAGCCATGTGCAGCTTTTGGAATCGAAATTTAATAAAACTTAAGTAGTGGCCTGGGCAATGGTCTCTGCTCCTGCCTTGCAATGCCAACGTGAGTTCAATTCCCAGAACTCACTTAAAAGTAGCAGATACTTGCCGATCGATGGTGGTTGCGCACGCCTTTAATCCCAGCACTGGGGAGGCAGAGGCAAGTGGATCTCTCTGAGTTCAAGGCCAGCCTGGTCTGAGGAGGTAGAGACCAGATTCCTGGGGCCTGCTGGCCAGTGAGCCTACCTAACTGGGGAGCACATGCAACGGTGCACACAGATAAACACATTGTGTGTGTGTGTGTGTGTGTGTACACGTGCGCGTGTAAAATTTAAATAGCAACCAAAGAGTCCCTTGTGTTTCAAGAGCTCAACAGCCATAACTACACTGCTTGAGAGAGTGGGCTACAGAGCACTGTGTAGAATATACCATCAGATCGAGGGCCCCGAGTGGGCTGCAGAGCACTGTGTAGAACACACCATCAGATCGAGGCCCCGCCGACCTCAACCACCATTTTCCATGCTGCCGCCATTCAAGCGTGCTCTAACCCCAGACACACGTGGTGTCGCCGGGGATGATGACAGACCTTTCCAAGGAAGTGTATCTGGGATGCCTCAAGCATTCACAAGGAGAAACTGGACTGGGCACAACAATTCAGTAAGGCCAAACTGGTTGCTCCACTTGGGTTGGCTGATGAGTGGGGTTGCAGACTCATCGGCAAAGTCTGGCCATGAAGGACTCCTTTCATCAGATTAGGGCGGACGCCTCCAGGTGAACTGGGGCTGTGGTCCCTTCTAAACTGAGCGTGTGACAGGCATGCAGAATTGTCCGCTCCGGCTCTCTGAGCACTGCACTCTAATTGTGCAATCTGCTGCAGTTCTAACCAGAATCGCAAGGCAAACATTCCAGGCAGGGCCCTGGGGACAGGACTCACAAGGAGAGGGCAGGGCCCCCATCAGCTCCCGGCCTGAAGCCCTCACTCACGGTGATTAAGTCTTCCAGCCTCACATTGACACTGGCCAGCATCTCTGTGCGCTCAGCTGCAGGCTCTGGGCAGGGGTAGATGGTAGCACGAAACCTGTGTTTAACACATTGAAAGGATACACGAGTTACTACAGAAAGGCTTCTAAAAACCCCTTTCCTACCAGGCCATGCCCGTGCAGTCATCAGAAAATGATTCAGAACAGCTGGGCACAGTATACCTCTAGCCTATAATCCCAGCATTTAGAAGGTGGCAAAAGCATTGCAATCTCAAAGCTTCTACAGAGGGAAGTAAGGCCAACTTAGGGTCTACCTCAATGGAACAGTGCTTCCCAACATGAGTTGAGGTCCTGGGCTCAATCCCCCAAGACAAAACTCATACATGCACTCGAAGGAATGAACATGCACAGGTAAAATTAAGATCCTTCTACAGAAAGAGCTGAGCCATGGTGATCACTTTCTCCTTTTCCACTAATTGTTTTTCAGTGCTAATGAATCGAACCCAGGGCCTCTAACACATCAGGCAAGGGCCCTCCCACCACGCTCCAGCTCCAGCCGGAGTCTGCCCATTCAACAGCAAGAGCAGAACAAGATATAACCTGAAACTGGCTGTTTCTACTTTGTGTCACGTTTATAACTCCTTAGTTCCCTTCTCCCTGTTCATAGTCTCACAACTATTGATAGTCAGCTGCATTTCCAGCATCATCTTAAAAGGCCTTCAGAAAGTTATTCTAAAATCCTAGTGGTCCTCAAAGGGGACGTGTCATTCTGCAGGGCAGAGCTTTTTACCCACTCCCAACCCAACCATCATGACAGAGCGTGACAGTCTCTCACCCATCACAGATCTTCTTGATTTTCAGCCTGAGCTGTTCTCCTTGATAAAATATGATGAATATATTCTTTTTAATTTCTTCTTTCTGGAATATCAAGGGAAAGATTATTTTCCTGCCTTCCTTTTCCAGGGATGGGGATGGAACCCTGGAGCAAACACTCTCCCACTGAGCTATACCCTGGCAGAACACAACCTATAAAAACAGAAGGCCTCAAAGTAACAGCTGCACTACTTTCTACATGGTGAAGGCCACAGCTGGGCTTTGGAGTCTGCTCTAACCCCCACAGGGGAGAGCACGCTCACAGCTAAGGAAACAACCCCAAGAGGGGCTAGGATATTTCAGGGTTCAGAGCAGCATCGGCTAGCCTGGGCATCCAAAGCAGCTGTAAACATCGGCATGTCCCAAATAAGTCTATCTTTGACACTCAAAGGGACAGCTATGACTAAGGTTTGACTCACAGCTACTGACAAGGTGCCCTTACGAACACGAACACCACTTAGGCTGGGTGTGGTGGCACACGCCTTTAATCCCAGCACTCTGAGGAACACAGAGGCCAGGTGAATGTCATAAGTTTCAGGCCAGTCAGGACTAAGCAATGGGACCCTGTCTTAAAACAAAGGAACAAAGAAACAAAAACAAAAACAAAAGCCACTGCTTAAACTATGTTTCAGGCTAGAAGTAGCTCAGAGCCTGAGCACTTACCCAGCTAGTGCCCAGCCTTGCATTTAATCCTCAGAAACGCAAAAAAACAACTTATTTGTGAAGAGGCAAGTCATGATCTGAAGCAGTACCATCTGTTTGTTGTTGGTTTTCATTTTCATTTGAGGGGTGAGGGAAAACTATAAAACATGCTGTTGAAGGCTACAACCCCATCAATTCATCGCATAGCACTCGGGGTCCCAGAATCAGGTGCCACCTCAGAGAGAAGCCACTTGTCAGGTCCAGAAAGTGTCAGGAAAATGTCACACACCCTTCAAGCCAGAAAGCCTATATTTCTTGGGTTCATATTATAGAACTAATTCACTAGGAAGTAAAAATCCTTGTGTATAATCCCAGGGCAAAGAAGATGAGGAAGAAGGTATTGAGTTAAAGCCAGACCGGGGATACATCGTCTCCAAACTACTACCACCACCAAATTCAGGAGCAGAGATGCAGGTGCTAGGTAGGGTCATTGGAAACAAATGTCCAGAGCATCATTGATATCCCTCACAGCAAAATGGGTAGACATGATCATAGAAACAGGATAGGGACATTTCAGGATTGCTGGAAACATCTGCTTTACACATCTAGATCCGCTAGAACCAGGGATCCATTCTGGCTTCCGGCACCTGCCACACATCCATGATCATCTTTCTCCAGACATTCTCTATATGAATAATCTCTCCCACCAAGATGCCCACATGTCAAAACTTGATTGTAAAGTGACAATTCAATGTCACAATTTAAAATAACCACAGAAACCGGGCATGGTTGGTTGGCCTTTGCCTGTGATCCCAATACTTGGGCACCACAGACAGAAGATCAGCACTTCAAGGCCTGCCTCTGCCACATGGACAATTCAAAGCCAGTCTAGGATACATGAGACTTTATCAGAAACAAAAATAAAACAAAATCACACACGAACAAGAAGGACTAAAGAATGCATAGGTAGGATTATGGGTAGAAATTGTGTTATTTAACAAAAAAGCAGAAAAATCACTTCCATATAAAATTGTAACTGCCTATAGTTAGAGAAAAGCACTTCAAGAAGATAGTTAAAATATACTGGTATACTTACTGAAGAGTTTTTTGAACATTTTAACAGTCAATCACAGGAAAGCGCATGAACATTGTCCCCCACTACCACAAATTATTGAGTCGAGTTTCTCACCCTGGGGCCAGCACAACCCACACCCAGTGTGTAAGCCTGGGAAAACCCTGGCTTCTCTTCCCCAGATAACTGTATTTATTTTTTTGTTTTCTTTTTACTTCAATTATGGCTCTTTTTTTTTTTAAATCAAATGAAATTTAAGATTAATGTTTTGAGCATCTAATCTGGAAGATTACAGACTTTTGGCTTCTGGGAGTGAAGGGATACGTGGGTTTAAACATTAATTAGAAGGGCGGAGGAAAGCAATTAGCTTATGGAATTAACAGCAACAAGTGTGTAGCCTCCCGGGAAGAACCTTCTCGCTGGATGCCTGTGGGCTGTGGGCAGCTGCTGTCCATCTATCCTATCAACTTCATCGAGGAGGCTAAAGAGCTGTAGCCCTCAGGCTCCACCCCAGCCCCATCCCAGGTGACTCTGCAACCTGTGTACACACACACACACACACACACACACACACTTGAGAAACAGACTCCATGGTTCTGGGACCGTGTGTGGTGAAAATAGCTTTGCCACTCATGGTATTTATATAGTAAGTCTCTAGAAACAAGATGCCACACACACTTGAGGAATGAACCAATTATGAAGGGCCATGAAAAACTGGTCCTTAGACGGACCCTTCAAATGTACTAAGCTTAAAAGGTGGGAGGGAGAGGGGATGAAATAAGACGTAAGACGGGGAAAGGGGGAAGAGAGGCGGCGAGGGAGGACACAGGTATTAGCAGGTTGTGAATGAGGTGTCTTCACAGAGCCCTTTCTGCCGGCCTGAGCCACCCACCGTCAAGGGGTCCTCCAGAAGTGTTTCCATCTCACTGAACTTCAGGTACACGTTTCCCCGACAAACTCTCCACAGCAGCCTCTCGAAGGAAGCCATCCTCTCCCTGTGGATCACGCCGGCCGTGAACCTACATGGTAGGAAGAGACACCACTGAGGGCCAGGGCCTGTAGGAGGGATGATGGGGACTGCTCACAAACTTCACGGCCCAGCTCCAACCTGCCCAAATTTTGTTGGATTGTCTGTTTTCTTCGATACTCTGTGTCCTTAATCATTGCAATTCTATCTATACTATACCATTATGAAAGACCCCCACTATGCTTATTGCCTGTTTAAATTGCCCTTGCTAATTTGCCAAGGTCAAGCTATGAGAAAAGTACAGGAGGGAACCAGGTGCTGCTCTCATCCAACGCCAACCAGATATCTGTGGTCTGCAGCTTGGACCAAAGCAAGGTCAGCAGGACGGTATCCGGGATGCTGAGAGAGTCATAACTGAATTCTTTGTATTCTTTGTGCCCAACCCGAATAACCAACTGTCCTTGGTTAACTACAACTGCTACATTTAGATGAAACAATGAAATCCCTGTAACCATGCTTCTGCTTCTGTAAGCCTGCTTCTTGCCACACCAACCCTATATAAACTGCCTGAGTTTTAACCTCGGCACGCTCAGTCCCCCGGAAGACTGAAGCATCCACAGGTACCTGTGTAAACAATAAATAACTTCTTGCACTTGCATCTAGTGGTTTGGTCTCGTCTCTTGGGGGCAAGGGCCTTCCCCCGACAGGCTCCAAACTCTTGGGGTCTCTGGGGTCTTTCAATTAAATACTATATAATACTACATATATTTATACACATATAAATATATAAGAGACCACCCCTGTGGTGGTGTAGCCAATGGTAGTCAATGTCCAGTGGTCTCTACACACCTTTATTTTTAAAAAGAATGTATTAAGAAACATACACTGATGTCCAAGAATCTTTTTTTATAGCTTTCTGATACTTAGCCGCTGGCTTAAACATCTAACACACGGTACTCAAAATGTAACTTTTCAATGGTTTATTACTTTGGATGACATTGATCTTTTATTGCCTTCAGGTAAAATATTTACATAAATATCATCTCCTTCCCATGTCAAGTTTGTTTTTGGAGAAAGGGTTTCTCTATGGAGTCCTGACCTGGTGTAAGGGTTCAGGCATTACGCTGGCCCGCCCCTGTCACCTGGCAGAAAGAATGCACTCAGGCAGTGCCCTGGTCAGCCCAGGTGCAAAGGACCCCTTTAAAAGAAAGACCCTGCCCACTTACACTGCCCCCCACCCCCACGTTCCCCTGGGGCAGATACGACTTTTCCTGTCTCCCTCTTCTCTAGTCTCTTCAGCTTTTTTCTGTTTCACTCCCCCCTTCCCTCCCCTTTCTATTAAAACTTCTCACTTAATCTCTGTCTGCCTGGCACATTTGTCCCCTGCCTTGGTCAGCCTCACCCACCAAGGAATCTGCCAAGGTTTCCCTCAAGCTTTATCACAACACCTGGAGCTCGCTATGTAGACCATGCTAGCCCAGAACTCACAGAGGCCTGCCTGCCCCTGCCTCCAGAGTGCTGCGACTAAAGGCGTGCCACCACAGCCAATTCCGATTTAAATTTCAATAGGCCCATAAATATCTACTGAATAAAAAATTAGGGGCCTCCAGCCGCAATGCTCATAAATGTTTTCAATTTTGTCCATCTCACATAAGTGCTAAATGCAATCCCATTTTGGACTGCCACAATACTGTCATGTCTGCTCAACTCTGTCATTTCTAATGACATCTGAAAAGGCCAAATATATTTTACTAAATATAAAGGAGGAAAGAAAACTAGGGAAGAGTCACGAACACCAACACCGGCCGTACACAAGGGGGCCCTGCACACAGGCACTCTCCAAGCTGAAGCCATGAATTCAATCATGAACCAGGGACACTCCCTTGCTCACTTCAGCAACCTTGTAGATCACCCCGGGTCTGTCCCTGTGTGGAACCCCTGTATTCATTCACCGGCAATCGTTCCACACCCAGGACTTCCTCACAGAGATTCATCCTTCAGTTCCGGGAGAGTTATCAAACACCAGGCATCAAGCAAAGCACTAGGCACCTACCCACACACAACTCGTAGGACACGGAGTTATACTAACCCCAACTTTCCAGTCATGAACGCAGGTATGGCTCTTAACTCCAAGAGACCCGAAGTGTCTTCAACAAAGAAGTCATCAGCTAGGTTGGTCTCGGTCTGAAAGACAAAACACCAACCCTGCCATTAAACACGGGGCACCTTGGAAAGCACCCACACCTCATGCTTTCGCTGTGTTTCTAAGGAAGCGTTGATCTCCCGCAAACGTTATCAGAAGTGAACAAGCAAAGAGCTCCGTGTCAGGACGGAAGCCCTCGAACCGACCCTCCCCAACCCCAGGTCTGCTCACCCCAACCCCAGGTCTGCTCAAACCCCACCCTCCCTTCTCTTGGGCCAACTTTAGTTTTCTTATTGAGATGTATAGTTGTCTTACTATGTCACCCTGACTGGTATAGAACTTGATTGTAGGCCAGGCCTGCCTCTGTGTCCCAAGGGCTGGGACTAAAGGTGTGTACCACCCTGCCTGGCCTGGCCACGGGTCAAGAAGCAAAGTATTTCACTCACAGTCCAGACCAGCCAGTTTTCCAGATAGAAATTTGGGTGCTGGGGAAGGACCCTTCGTTAACCCCACCCCCCAAGAAAACACCTCAAAAAAGTCCTGGGTTTTCTTTAGGAGGTATTTGAGTTCTGTCAGCTCCAGAAAGCTCTTCTTCAATGCCTGCTGGTTCTGGTTGGCTTCCTGTAGCTCTCCTTCCAATTTCTCGAGAGTACTCTGTGCAAGGGAGAGGAAAATAAGCCGGGTTACAAGAGCTGTGACCCTTATTCTACACATCAACCATAATCAATAACCAGACACCAAAGACGTTCCCGTGTCAAAACATAGCTCAAGCCGAGCGCTCCTGGAGAGTGTAGTAGCAAAACCCAGACAAACACTGTCTAGAGTGACCGAGACAATTCAAAAGTACTCTGAGGGATGGGAGACGACAGTTCCTGAGGAAGTAAGTCATGTTGTCTTTTAGGACCCCCAAGATAAAGTAATTTGGGAATTCATTATGCCGAAACACACTGTAAAATGATGGTTAACAAAAAAAAAAAAAAAAAGAGTATTTTCTCCTTTCCCACAACCCCCAAGGTTCTACATGGATCTGAAGAGTAAGATAAGAAGCCATGGGGAAAGGTGAGGAAAAAAAGGCAAGAAGGCAGAGTTGAGCCAAAAAAACAAGAACAAAAACAAAAAAGTAATGTATTCTCCCAAATGAGCACACACACGAAAGAATAAAGCTTGTGCCAGGCATTGGTGGTGCACACCTTTAACCCCAGCACTCAGGGGGCCGAGGCAGGTGGATCTCTGTGAGTTTGAGGCCAGCCTGGTCTACAGAGTGAGTGCCGGGATAGGCTCCAAAGCTACACAGAGAAAGCCTGTCTCGAAAAACAAAAGCCAAAAAAGAATAAAGCTGTGATAAAACCTGATTGGGGGGGGGGGGAAATCATAATCACCTTCTATAGAATATTCTGGAAAACAACTTTCCAGGGTTTTTTTGGTTTTGTTTGTTTGTTTTTCTTTTTGTTTGTTTGTTTTTTAAGAATGCCCAAAGAGGGCGCTGCCTTCACTAATAAGGGTGGTTAGTGTTTAGGTGGAAGCTCCACTTCAGCCCCATCTCTTTCTCCAGACCCTGTCCTCGAGAAAGCCGGACAGGTAATGGCTCCTCCCCTGGAGCGCTTTAGGGCCCCCTCCTCGGGAGCAGCCTCCTGGTTTCTCCTCTCTCACGAGATCACCTGGGAATGCTTTGCCCGGATTAAAACCTGGACTTTAATTCAGCTTAACTGGCGTATTGCATCAGCAGAGTTACCCACTACTGGGGAATACTTTTACTTATCAGTTAGACAGCAATTTCCTAAAATAAGAAAGCAGGTAGGGGACCAGCAAGATGGCTCGGCAGGTAGAGATGCTTGCCGCCAAGCCTGACAACCCGGTTCCGTCTCTAGGACCCATGTGAAGGGGAAAACAACTCCTGCTAGTGGTCCTCCAACTTCCACGAGCACACCACAGCATGTGTACATGCACACGCATGCACACTCACTGAGAGACATGTAAGTGTAATAACTTGAAAACCAGGTAGACATTAAAAGGTAACTATTGGAAATCTAGAAAGGAAAAAAAAAAAAATACAGCTATTCAAAGTCCAATAGATGAGATCGATCTAGTAAATTCTAGACACAATTTGTAAATGTAATATTAAAATTTAACAGCCAGGCATGGTGTTTCACACCTTTAATTCTGGAACTCAAGGCAGGAGGGTCTCTGGGAGTTAGAGGCCAGCCCGGTCTACAAAGTGAGTTCCAGGACAGCCACAGCCATATAATGGAGAGACCCTATCCAAAAAGATAGGAAGGAAGGAAACAAAAATTTAAAAACCTAGAAGATCACTTATCTAAAAAGACCTTTAAAATACGATAGAGAGTTGAGCGATGGTGGCGCACACCTTTAATCCCAGCACTGGGGAGGCAGAGACAGGGGTCTCTGTGAGTTTGAGGCCAGCCTAGCCTGGTCTACAAAAGACTTCCAGGACAGCCAGGACTACACAGAGAAACCATGTCTCAAAAATAAAGAAATAAATAAACGGACAGGACTAGAGACTTGGCTCGGTGGTTAAGTGCATTTACTGCTCTTGCCAGGGACCAGAGTTCAATTCCAAGCACCCAAAGGCTCACAGCCATCTGCAACTCCATCCCAGGAGGTCTGATGCCCTCTTCTGACCTTCATGGGCGCCAGACAGACAAAAAAAAAATGCAGCCAAGACATACACATAAGCAAAAATCTTAATTCAATGGAGAAAGCACCTTATATTAAGAAAAACACTACAACTATGGAGACGAGTTGACTTCAGAAACAATGTGGGATCTTAAAAGTTAAAACAAGGCGTGGGCAGCTGGTGAGATGGCTCAATGGTCAAGAACACCGATCAGTTTCTTTTATATAACTTTTTATATAACGTGGATTATGAAAAATCAACTCAGGTCCCTGCGTTTTTGCAGCAAGCATCTTACCAATTGAGACATCTCCCGAGCCTTCAACCATGTGATGATGGGTGGTAAAGTAAGGAACAGAGTCAGGACCCTGACTAGTGAAAATTATTTAAGATCCCGTCTCCAAAACGTGCTTTCTCTGCAACCCTAGACTGGGGAGGAAGAGGCAGGAGGCTGTGGCCAAATTGAAGATCTGCCTATGAGACTCCAATCCCCAAAACCCAACAAAGCATAAACAAAATAAAAAGATCGTCATTCTGTAAACCAGACTTAAAAGTGAGCAACCAGAAAGGGTTTCCAGGGGCTGAAAAGACAGCTCAGTGGTTAACAGGACCTGTTGCTCTCAAAGAGGACCTGGGTTCAGTCCCCAGCACCAGCATGGTGGCTCACAATCACCTGTAACTCCAGTTCCAGGGGATCCAAAACCCCCTTTGTCCTCCATGGGCCCCAGGCACACACATACATACATGCAGGCAGGCAAACACTCATACAACATAAATACACCTTTTTAAAAAAACAAAGGCTGTCCATACCAGTGCTACCTCCCTCTCTACCCCCTGAAAACAATTATATAAAGTCAGGCAAAACTGAATATTTAAATTTGGAGCAGTGAGCCTTGGAATTTGCCTGTCTCGGCACAGCTGAAGATTTTCCAGAACAGTCAATTAAACCAATCAGCTCACATTGAGTCCAGCTGGGTGAACTTTTTTTTTTTAGCTGAAAAGAGCCAGTTCAAACAAACTCTTCCTCCGTACGTGCCATGTCCATAACCGGAAAACATCGCATTCCACCACTATTGGCCTCTTCAGCCTGCCCATACCTCCACATAGGTAAGACTTCACTGCCTGTGAGAAACTTCCGTGCACAAAAGAAATTTCTCCTCAAAGTGGGGTGAGCTTGCTCAGAGCAGTGTTGAGAAAGGAAAACAGCTCCCCGCTAACGGGCATAAGAGGCCCTAAAGCTGTACCCTGGAATCTTCCTAGGACCGCGTCTTACTTATGGTTTCTTTCGCTATGACGAAACACCAGGACCAAAAGCAGCCCAGGAAGGAAAGGGTTTATTTCAGCTTACAGTTCCACATCATAGTCCATCAGTGAGGGAGTCACGGGCGGGCCGGAACTCAGCCATGGCAGGAAGCTGGAGGCAGCAGCTGATGCAGAGGCCAAGGATGAACAGTGGGAACCCTGCGGTGTGCCAGCTTAATCCTCAGCCTGCCATCTTATATAACCCAGGACCACCGGCCAGGGACGGTACCACCCACAATGGGCGGGTCCTCCCTGTCAATCACTAATCAAGAAGATGCTCTACAGGCTTGCCTACAGCCGGTTTTATGGAGGCATTTTCTCAGCCAAGGCTCCCTCTTCTCAGATGGCTCTAGTTGGCGTAAAAGTAGCCAGTGCAGACACGAAGTAACCCAGAAAGGGACTGTCTCCTACTTGTCCACATGTAAACGGTGTGGAAGCCTCTTGAGCATCCTCAGCTGGAGAGATGGCAAAGTGAGGCGGCTCTTACCTCCAGGGTGATCATTTCTCGGGGGAGAGGGGTCTCCGGGTCCTTCTCGGGCATCTGGACTATAATCTCGTTTTGCATCTCATCTTCCAGAAACCCTGAAGGAGAGCACAGGCGACCGTGACTACCCAGGACACGGAAGTGGGGGTCAGCATAACAGGAACCTCCAGCCAGCTGAGCTATGGGGCTGCTCTAGCTCCCGCCCTGCAGCCAGGTCCATCCTCCAAACCTCCGGCACACTTTGCCTTAGGGAGCCCTCAGAAAGCGTCACACATGACAGAAAGCTGTGCCAAGCAAGCGTGCTAGTTAAGTTCCACAAACTACCTCTCTTGCTTCACATTTAGGCAATAAGGGGGGGAAGGACTTACGGAGGATTCGCTCCAGCGACTCGCACCTTCGGACCTCATTCACAAACTTCCTCTGGAAGCTGTTCACGTTTGCGTTTAGCTGCAGGAAAGGGGAACCCGCGGGCTTGCGTTAGGGATCTGCAGCTGCATTACCTCCTTGATGCTGCGGGTTGGTACTAGGAATGTGTTAGGAACAAATATGGCTGTGCAAGGGGCACGAGTTACTGGAAAGCTGGACCTTCCGTGCCTACACTCCTGCGTGGAGTCGGGAATATGAGGGGACCTTGAACGCTCTACAGGTCTGCAGAGTGCTTCCGGGTCGGTGGTCAACAAGAATCCAGCCTTTGCTGTGGGTAGCTCTCAGCTTAACTTAATAAATGGTAGGCCTAGAGAGAGAGCTCAGTGGTTAAGAACACTCGCTGTTCTTAGGTTTCCCGCACCCAAGTCAGGCAGCTCACAGCCATGCAGAACTCCAGCTCCAGAGGATCCAAAGCCCCTGGCCTTGTGAGTGCCTGCACTCACATGCACATGCGCGCGTGCACACACACAACGAAAATCTTTAAAAAATGTTAGTGAGGACTGGTCTCTCTGGTCGGTGCTATGCTAACTAGTGATACAAAGGACAAGACCCAGGCCTCCCACTAGGCAGACGAGGTTTGATTTTGACCTTGGTGTGGAAATAAAGAAGGACTGATTTTCTAACTTGGCAAAGATATAAATGGCCCATGAGAAGCAATACTCCAGACATCCCTAGAGTGCTCTTACTGGAACTCCGCGCCAGAAGCCGCTCCAGGCCGCCTTGCCTGGAGTTTGACTACTCAGAGAAAATAGATTCTGTATGCATCTTGGAACCCGGTGATTCTGTATTCACTGCCAGCATGTGAAGAAGCTATACAGGGATTAAAACACCCAGCCATTGAACTGCAGCTTCAAAACATTCCCGGAGAAGACATGGGAGGAGCAGCATGGTCCAGACCATGCTGCAGGCCGGGAGAGATCTTAGCTGGAAGGTCAGGGCCATGGAATTCTGCCTGTCCTAGGTCTGGACTCCTCTCCCAGCACAATGTGTTTTGTTGATTGCCCAGAAGCATTGTGCAAGGGCTATCTATTGCCATCCCCACCTTCCTCTTATCTCCAAAGAATGCAGCACCTACATCTTTGAACTGAACCAAGCCAAGCTCTCCCAGCTCAGCTACACAGCAATAGGCAGCCTCCACCTGGAGAAACACTTGGGATAAACACATCTCCTCGCTTCGAAACACAGATGCCATGTCGGCCCAGCCTTAGTCTGGAGGGAAAAAAGAGAAAGAGAGAGAGTGAAGGTAATAAATACATGAAAATCTTAACATGATTTAAGTTAGGATTTAAAAAAATTCAGGGCTCGGTTATAGCTCAGTACTGACATAGCATGTATGTTCAATGAACCTGTCTAGTTCAATCCCCGGTGCCCACTCACACAGACACAGAAAGAGACAAAGACAAATAAATGATCCAACATTAACAAACCCAAGTAACCCCAAATTGAAACCTGGGAACACCAACATGATGCCCCCTACCTCCAACCTTACCTGCTAGATTACTGCTACAACACATGTGTTCTAGGGGGAAGATGCAAATTTCCCTCCAGCTATGTGTACATAATCTATACGTGAAACCTGGATGAGTTTTGCAGGCTGACTTGGATTCCACCTCTAAGACAATGTATCGTGTGTGCTTGTGTGTATATTGCAAACATGGAAATCTAAAAGTTCTGGTGCCAAGCATTTCGGATAAGGAATGCTCAGGCTGGGTGATGAGACATCCAAGGCTGGTCAAGTGTGAAAAGCATGTTTAGAACAGGAATAGCCCTGTTCTAAAGGTGTCAGCCCTGGCCCTGGCTCTCACAACGGCCTTCCAAGCACTCAGGGTGTACTGCAAGGAGCCTTGCCGATGCCCAGAGACAATGCATTCCAGAGTGTGGCATGTGACGTTTGTGACTCAACATTCCCCCACCCGCAAACATTTATCACGGGCCTGGGTTGCTTAGTGGAGAAAGGTGCTTGCCATCTGGTCTGATTTAACTGAGTTCAACCCCAGAGACCAGAGAGAGAGAGAGGGGGCCGGGTGCTTAGCAAACACCCAAAATCCTAGCACAAGGGAGAGACAGGTGGAATCCCTGAGTTTAATGCCATCCTGGTCTACAGAGCCAGGGCTACACAGAGAAACCTTGTCTTGAAAAACAAAAACCAACAACAATAATAAAACACACACATACACATATACATACAGAGAGAGAGAGAGAGAGAGAGAGAGAGAGAGAGAGAGAAACTTGCAAAGGACTTCAATGAGCCTTCAAGTTTTCACTAGGTAACACATCACATTCAGACTCAGGAGGGTCCCCTTGAGACATACACGCACATGCTCACACACATGCATGAATATGCACACACGTGCACACACACACACATACTTTCCTGTCACATTTCTGCCTCATTGCCCGCCCGCCTGTCACCGATGCCTCATCTTACCCCATGGCCCAAGCCAGGCAACTGCTAAGGTTTGTATGTCCAGGACTCAAGCCCTAAGGTCCTCAGCCTCCTTTTCTCCCAGGCTGGCAAACAGTCTTCCCCTATTCTTGTTTCCATGTGACCCCCAGGGCCTGGGGCCCCAGATCTCTCTCTGACTCCACAGAACAGCTCTGGACTCAACTGGGGGATCTACTTCATGGCTTGCCAAGCCTCGACCCTTCCCAAGGTGCCATTCATGAGGGACAGCCCCCTCCCCCCCCACACACACACACACTCTTCCTCCTGGACTCCATGCCCGGGACTCCCAGGCTGACACCTTTAGAACAGGGCTATTCCTGTTCTAAACATGAAGACCCCCCCCCTCACACACAATCTTCTAGACCACCACCAGTTTGTCTTCTTTTATGATTATGTACCCCTTTCCCAACTCCGTCTCCCAAACCCTTCCCTAGAACGCTTCTCCTGGACCTTTGGGGTCCATACACCCCCACACCACACCACACACACGAAAACAAAGTAGCCAGTGCCCAAGACACTGGCCTCCTCCAGGGTCTCTGCTGGACAGAGGGCGGGGAGGGCAGTTCCCTAGGTTAGGAAGGAAGGCCAAGACGCTTTCCATCGACCGACGAAGTCCACAGTAGGCTGCTCTCCTCCCGTGGGAGCCCCAGAGCACCCACATTGTTTCTTCCTGTTGCTTCCATCAGCTCATCCTGGAAAACCAGCAGCCCTCTTGCACAGATCCATACCTGCCAGCCCCTGGGTCTGTCCCCCAAAAGGATAAAGTCTAAAGCCTTCTCCAGACATCCATACTCTGTTCTCCCTGACCCTGCACCTACCTGGGGCCCTTGCTCATGCTCCCCAGCTGTCCACCCCCATCCCCCATAACCCCGCCATCCCCCCAACTCTTCCAGGACACCTTCCTGACTGTGCTGCTTAACAAGGGCCCTGGGTCCCCACTACCCAGCGACATCCTGAGGCTGGGACTCCCCCATCAGTCTAGCACGGACTGAGCTCAACAGTAATTGTCACAAAGGATGTCCTGACTTACTTCTTTTCCTTACCCTCCGCCCCAGAAGTCCAACTGGAGCTACACTTTTTGAGCACTAAAATAAATCAGAAAGGTTTTGCTGTTTCAATAACGAGGCCACGTGTTCACAGAACCGTAAGACATCAGCTTCATGAAGACCAAGGACCTTTCTCACCTGAGTTTCCGGAGAGCTTGTTCTGGGTGGGGACCCACTGCCCAAATCCTGGAGCAGGAATGCCCAACAGCAGCAGAGGCGGCTGCAGCAGCGGCAGCCACGGTCAGTTGTGGTTTTTGAGTGGCCCGGAGCCCCGTGGCAGGGAGGCTGCCTAGCCTTCCCCCTCCACACACTGTCCCAGCTCCCTCTCCAGAGGCCACTCTGTTGTATCAACACATCCTGCAGTGGGTGAGCTCAAACCTGCCACACCGGCCAGCCCTGCTCCACCCCAGCCCCACCTGGGCCCCGCCCTCAGCAGCGACCTTGAGTCCCCACTGCCGAGCAAGAACTTAGTTCTCTAAGGGGGTAACTTGCTCCTCGGGGAACTGAGGTTGGGGACAAGGTTTCCAGGGTCCTTATAAGGGCAAGATAGACAGCAGGCTAGTTCAGCTCCTACACAAATCAAAACACTCCTTCAGCCTCAAGAACAAGGCTGGGTGTGACTCACTTGCCTAGCTCGTAGGAGGCCCTGGGTTTGATCCCAACACTGCACACAACAGTAAGAATGAAAAAACATTAAGAAGTAGCTTTGGAAGTGAACAAAGTGCCTCATTCACCGTCCTCTTAAGGACTTTCTAAAGGCGGAGAGACGCTGAAGCCTTAGAATAACCCAGCGTGTGAGGTCCAGCTTCCCAAGGGGGCAAGTTAGGAGAGGAAGAGAGTCAGAGGTTTTTCTGGGCTTAGAGGCTTCCTCTGCAGCTCCCTCTGACTGTCTTGATATGAATGAACTTTCCAGAATGCCTTTCCCGGGTGTTTGTTTGCCAGTTCCCTTTGTGTACCCACCTAGGGACCCCATAAAATTTTCCTGGGTCCTCAAATGAGGAGTGGTTTTTAGTTGTTTCCCCCATTTTATGGTCTGCGTGTGTTTAGTTGAGACAGGGTCTCAAGTAGGCCAGGCTGGCCTAGAATTTACTATGGAGGAGATTTTCTGATCCTCCAGCCTCATCTCCCCAGTGCTGGGTTTACAGGCATGTGCTACCTACCACCCCTGCTTTATGTGATGCTGGGCTGAATCCGAGACTTCATGGGTACCGAACAGGAGCTCTGCCATGTGAGCTACACCCCCAGATCGTGTTTTTCACTGCTTCTCACGGAAAACATTTAAATATCTGGCAAAGTAGAAAGACTAGTTCGTACAAGGGCCTTCCCAATACATGTCGCTCGACTTCATCAATTTGCATTTTGTGCCATCTAAACTCCACTCCCCTCTAATTATTAATGCTTTGAAGTTAATCCCACATATCATATAATTTCTTTCAAAAAAAAACTGTCAACATGTCACATATCTTTAAAAGATTCTTTCACAGACACACACACACACAGTCATGATCACCCCTCAAATTCAGTGATAATTCTTTCATATCAGGTAGCCTACCAGGGATGTCTGCGTTAGTTTTAACCGTCAGCTTGACAGCCTAGAATCACCTGGGAAGTTGCTAATTCCATGCTGGAGAATAACACCACTACCACAGTTTAGAGCCAAATTTGAATCAAGCTTTAATTGAATACTGGCCAGGTGGATGGGCTCTGGCCAGGCCTATACTCAGGTTTCCAGGAAATGGCCCCAAATCAAGTTTTGCAGGGTCTTAAGTTAGGGAGTCAGGAGAAAGAGAAGGGGAGAAGAGGAGGGGGAGGAGGGCGTGAGGGAGCAGGAAGGTTGAGTCCGGAGAGGAATGGAGGAGAGCAAGAAAGGGATTCCATAATAGAGGGGGCCATTATAGGTTTAAAAAGAAATCTGGCACTAGGGAAATGTCCAGAGATCTACAAGGATGACCCCAACTAACAATCTAAGCAATAGTGGAGAGGCTGCCTTAAATGTCCTTCCCTGATAATGAGATTGATGACTACCTTATCTGCCATCCTAGAGCCTTCATCCAGTAGCTGATGGAAAAAGAAGCAGACACCCACAGCTAAACCCTGAGATGAACTCCTGGAATCCAGTGTAGAGAGGGAGGAGTGATGAGCAAAGGGGTCAAGAACAGGCAAGACAGCTGACCTGAGCAAGGGGGAGGAGCATGGACCCCAGACTGATAGCTGGGAAACCAGCATAGGACTGACCCAGACCCCCTGAACGTGGGTGTTAATTAGGAGGACTGGGCCGTCTAAGGGAGCTCAGACAGTGGAACCAGGATGTATCCCTGGTGCACGAACGGACTTTGGGAGCCCATTCCCCACGGAGAGATACTCCCTTAGCCTAGAGACAGGAGGAAGGGCCTAGGCCTTACCCCAAATGACTTGGCAGATTTTGATGATCCCTCCTAGAAGGCATCACCCTCCCTGGGGAGTGGATGGGGGATGGGATGGGGGGATCTGTGGAGTGTAAGGGAGGATGGAGGGAGAGGGAACTGAGATCAATATGTAAAATAAGAAAAAATTTTAAAATATTTTTTTAAAAGAAGGAAAATCCATAATTCACCAAATTTCCTACAAGGTCCAATTAAGGGCAAGCATACATACATTCTGATGTATTTCCTGCCCATGTACCTCCCACCTATATATGATCAAACACATCCAATGCAGATGGGTCAAAAAAACTTGTT